AACTTAACCGACGTGATACACAGACTCTGAAGTTGTCAAACTTAACCGACGTGATACACAGACTCTGAAGTTGCCAAACTTAACCGACGTGATACACACACTCTGAAGTTGTCAAACTTACCCGACGTGATACCCACACTCTGAAGTTTTCAAACTTACCCGACGTGATACACACACTCTGAAGTTGTAAAACTTACCCGACGTGATACACAGACTCTGAAGTTGCCAAACTTAACCGACGTGATACACACACTCTGCAGTTGTCAAACTTAACCGACGTGATACACACAATCTGAAGTTGGCAAACTTACCCGACGTGATACACACACTCTGAAGTTGTTCACCTGTGATTAATATTTCGACCTAGCTAATATGGCAAAAACTAAAAATTGACAGAATACATGCATATATAGCATAATCTAAAACAACAATACAAACATTTATGAAACAATAATTGGAATTGGGTTGTCTGTCTGTTTATAGACACAGCTATATGTGCTAATAAGGCAAAAACTAAAAATTGACAGAATACATGCGTATATAGCATAATCTAAAACAACAATACAAACATTTATGAAACAATAATTGGAATTGGGTTGTCTGTCTGTTTATAGACACAGCTATATGTGCTAATATGGCAAAAACTAAAAATTGACAGAATACATGCGTATATAGCATAATCTAAAACAACAATACAAACATCCCTGAAACAATAATTGGAATTGGGTTGTCTGGCTGTTTATAGACACAGCTTTGTACGGGAAACTCCTCCGAGTTTTTAGCCACATTTCACGAAACTTAACCGACGTGATACACAGACTCTGAATTTGTCAAACTTAACCGACGTGATACACACAATCTGAAGTTGGCAAACTTACCCGACGTGATACACACACTCTGAAGTTGTTCACCTGTGATTAATATTTCGACCTAGCTAATATGGCAAAAACTAAAAATTGACAGAATACATGCATATATAGCATAATCTAAAACAACAATACAAACATCCCTGAAACAATAATTGGAATTGGGTTGTCTGTCTGTTTATAGACACAGCTTTGTACGGGAAACTCCTCCGAGTTTTTAGCCACATTTCACGAAACTTAACCGACGTGATACACAGACTCTGAATTTGTCAAACTTAACCGACGTGATACACACAATCTGAAGTTGGCAAACTTACCCGACGTGATACACACACTCTGAAGTTGTCAAACCTAACCGACGTGATACACAGACTCTGAAGTTGCCAAACTTAACCGACGTGATACACACACTCTGAAGTTGTAAAACTTACCCGACGTGATACACAGACTCTGAAGTTGCCAAACTTAACCGACGTGATACACACACTCTGAAGTTGTCAAACTTAACCGACGTGATACACACACTCTGAAGTTGTCAAACTTACCCGACGTGATACACACACTCTGAAGTTGTTCACCTGTGATTAATATTTCGACCTATTATCAGTTATGCCATTTTGTATGAATTTTAGCCAACATTTTGTCCAGGGCTTATATCTCAGATTTGATATAAAAGTACATATAAGGTTGCCAGAATGGCACTGTGACCTATGGTTTGACCTTTGACCTCAAACTTTGATTATTTTGTCTGTGGCATATCTTCAATAATACTTCACCTGGAGAAACCAGGTTTGGTATGCATGTATGTCTTAGAATGGTCAAGTGCCGAATCAAAAAGGAGGTCACTGTGACCTATGTTTTGACCTTTGACCTTGTCATTTCAAAAACATTTGTCCTGAGCATATCTTGGTGCTGTTTTACCTGGAGTAAGTGCGTGTTTCACTGGTAGATTGCTCACCTGTTCCAACCTGTCAGTTCATACTGTGTTGCAGTGTCGTCATCCGTCCAACCAGCATCAACTTTTTACTTCTTTTTAAACCAGATTTTTTGTTCAGCCAGCAGCATGCTGTGATGAAAGGCTATCAAGTTCAACCTTTTCCAAAAGAATAAACTTAACCTATATTCAAGGTCATATGTGTTACATTTGTAAAGCTTTAACCGTTTTAGCTCACCTGGCACGAAGTGCCAAGTGAGCTTATGCCGTGGCGCGGCGTCCGTCGTCCGGCGTCAATATTTTACTTTAAACGACTTCTTCTGAATAACCAAAAGGCCTAGGGTGATGATATTTGGCCAGAAGCAAACTGGGATGAAGGGCTACAAAGTTTGTTAAAATTAATGACCTTCACCCATTTTCAAGGTCACAGGGGTCAAATATGTTTAAAACTTTAAACATCTTCTTCTCGATAACCAAACTGCTCAGGGAGATGATATTTGGACAGTAGCATGCTTGGGTGAAGGGCTACCAAGTTTGTTCAAAAGAATGACCTTCAATTATATTCAAGGTCACAGGGCCAATTGTCTTAAAAAACCTTTAAACAACTTCTTCTGAATAACCAAAATGCCTAGGGTGATGATATTTGGCCAGTAGCATGCTGGGATGAAGGGCTACAAAGTTTGTTCAAATGAATGACCTTCACCCTGATTCAAGGTCACAGGGGTCAAATATGTTAAAAACTTTAAACAACATCTTCTCAATAACGAAAATGCCCAGGGTGATGATATTTGGCCAGTAGCCTGCTGAGATGAAGGGCTACAAAGTTTGTTCAAATGAATGACCTTCACCCATATTCAAGGTCACAGGGGTCAAATATGTTAAAAACTTTAAACAACTTCTTCTGAATAAACAAAAATGCACAGGGTGATGATATTTGGCCAGTAGCATACTAGGATCAAGGGCTACCAAGTTTGTTTAAATGTATGACCTTGAATCATATTCAAGGTCACAAGGAGCAAATTTGTTCAAAATATTAAAAAAAAATGAACAACTTGTTCTGAATAACCAAAAGGCTCAGGATGTTGATAGTTAGTCAATGGCATGCTGGGATCAAGGACTACTATGTTTGTTAAAGTGAATGGCTTTGACTTATATTCAAGGTCACAGGGGTCAAATTTGTTTAAAATCTTTAAACGACCTCTTCTGAATAACCATGGGTCCCAGGATGTTGATACTTTGCAAGTTGCATCCCGAGATGAAAGGCTATACAATTTGTTCAACATAATGACTTTGTTCGACTTTCAATCACAGGGGTTAAATGTTTTAAAAAAAAAATAACAGGTTCTTTTGAATGAATTTTAATCATAAATAATGATAATTTATTTTGCCTGTAGCTTTATTTTAGATCACTTTTGAGGTTACAAGTGTGAGATTTATACCAGGTGAGCGATGCAGGCCCATTGGGCCTCTTGTTTTAATAGCAAAGAAGCATAGGATGTCTTTTAGTTAATAGCATTACGGAATAAAAGGCTACCAAATGAATTATCTTGACCAACTTTAAGTCATTGGGGGTAAGTTACCGGGTAGTTCAAATACTTAAATAAATTATTCTGAAAAACGAAGAGGCCTCGGGTCATGATGCTTGGCATGTAGCTAATGGTGTAGTCATAGATAGAAAGTGTGGGATTTGACTGACCTAGACCCACCAACTCTGATGGTCTGATTAAAAACAACCACTGCAAACTCGTAATGTGTATATTAATAAAATCTTTCAACAACAAGAGGCCCATGGGCCTTAACGGTCACCTGATATATTTATACAGAGAGTTGATTTTGTTTTTAACACGAACAGAAATATTATTCAAAGTGACAAAAAACAATAAAACCACCTTATTCAATATCTAGCATACAGATTTAAGACTAAAAAGCATTTGAAACTAGCACCTCTGATTCTAAACAAGGAAAATGAAGAAATTTTAGCACACCGACTCCTTTGGGCCCCAACCTACAGCCCTTGGGGGTAGGGCTAGCTCAAACTTTTCAAAGTATCAAACTATCAACTCAGGGTTATAATTCCAATCAAGTTATCAACGTGTAATATTCAAAGTATCATTTGCCATTATAAACCATAATAACTCCTTCCCCAGGGGGTAAACGGGAGACCCTAGGGTCATAAACCTTAAGACCCTTCCATCTATGAAGAGTGTTTGATTCTACCATATCTGGGTCTTTGAGAAGAAGATTTTTGAAATTTCAGTCAATTTAACCCTTTTTGGCCCCACCCATCAGCCCCGGGGTCAGTCAGGGCTCATATGTGCATACCATCAAACTGCTAACTAATACTGATAATGCTAAGCTAAATTGAATTACTTCCAATGGAAATTAAACAAATGTTGGTCCAAAATGTGATTTCCCTATATAAACTATAGTAAAGTTTACCCCCTCCCCAGGGGGAAACGTGAGACCCCAGGGTCATGAAATTCACAATTTTGGTAAAGCACCTTAAGACCCTTCCATCTATGAAGAGTATTTGATTCTACCATATCTGGGTCTTGAGAAGAAGATTTTTGAAATTTCAGTCAATTCAACCCTTTTTGGCCCCACCCATCAGCCCCTGGGGGTCAGTCAGGGCTCATAGGTGCATACTATCAAACTGCTACCTAATACTGATAATGCTAACCCAAATTGAATTACTTCCAATGGAAATTAAACAAATGTTGGTCCAAAATGTGATTTCCCTATATAAACTATAGTAAAGTTTACCCCCTCCCCAGGGGGAAACGTGAGACCCCAGGGTCAAGAAATTCACAATTTTGGTAAAGCACCTTAAGACCCTTTCATCTATGAAGAGTATTTGATTCTAGCATATCCGGGTCTTGAGAAGAAGATTTTTGAAATTTTAGTCAATTTGACCCTTTTTGGCCAATGCCCCTCAGGCCCCTGGGGGCTGGGGACCAAATCGGCCACTAATTTTGTGGACTTTTGGCCATGGAAGGTTTCTGCAAAATTTCATTGAAATTGGTTCAGGGGTTTTGGAGAAGAAGTCGAAAATGTAAATTGTTTACGGACGCACGACGGACAACGCCGGACAAAAGGCGATCGCAATAGGTCATTTGAGACTTTGAACTACAATGTGACATACAGCTAGACAGATTGACAGAGGAAGATGTGAGGTGGATAAAAAACAAACAAATCATATCAAATTTTCTTCCAAAGTTTTATTTTTCTACGTAACTATACCTGACTAAAACTATATATATTTAAGGCACCAATTTCCTGATATTTGCAAATTATTCTAGATTCATAATTTATCCACATTTCGTACACATATGGTGATTACATTATCTCCTCTGTTATATCCAATGATGGTCATGGCCATAATGTATCTACTATCTAGAATGACAGTACAGGGAAGTGTGGGCTCTTGTTACTATTTCATTGTATATAATGCATGTACTCAGACATGACCACTGACTCCTTGCTGTGTGAAAACACACTAATAGTATTTACAAATCTCACAGTAGTATGTACAAATTCAGGAACAGTAAAACGTATTCAAAAACAATATTCTTTAAATGACAGACAGAGTTGGTACCAACTGACATAGACACTCCCTGGATAAGCTCCTGGTTTGGGGACATATCTATTTGCTTAGATTCCAGAAACGAACATATTACAAACATAAGTGTATTTATAGATGTCTTGATTTAAATTGTTGCCTAATACAATACATATGATATAATCCGCTTCCAAACAGGCAACTAAGTCTGGTTTAGACCTGATTTATAGTTCAAACGATACCATCCAGAAATCAACATCTTCACAAAGTTTCAGTTTATCTTTTAGTAACTGTGACCTTGACCTTTGACCCAGAATCCCCTAACTCAATAATGATTTTCCTCTTCCAAAGGGGCACCAGCCAATCAAGGTCGGTTTAGATCGTATGCATCATTCAAGAGATAGTATACTGAAACCAACACTTCCCTAAAACTACAGACTACCAAAATTCTCCCAAATGTTTACATAGGATTAATTATTCCAAAAGTCTGGAAAGTATTTGTTTTGGACATGTGGACACAGGAACAAGGACAGACAAGGAGACAGAAACATAAAAGACACAACTTTCTACATAAATATAACATTATCTACAGATAGATTGTGATCAAATCATTTTGAGTTTTAATGCTTCTGTTTCAGAAAACAACTTGATGTATCTTCTTCTTGAGCACAATTCAGACATAATTTGCTGACATGATCCCTACTAGATTAAGATATTGGCTTCATCGCTGTACCCTTAGAACCCTTTTTCTGTGGAGAGCCTTTGACTTGTTTAGAAGCTTTCGTCTTTGTTGGGGACCCTTTCTTTGATGGGGAGGCTGTCTTCTTTTTTGGTGATCCCTTTTTTGAAGGTGACAATTTACCTCGTCCTTTTCCTTTTCTTGCATTCCTTTCTTGCCGCATCTTCTTCATTGTAAAGGTGATACACTAGATATCAAAATTACATTTATTCAGTACAAACTCAGAATACTCTGGTATAAATCTCAAAATTCTGTGATAAATAGCAATATTCTATATAAAACAGTCCTTATCAGAAACAGAAATATTCTATATAAAACAGTCCTTATCAGAAACAGAAATATTCTATATAAAACATTTCTTATCATAAATAGCAATATTCTATATAAAACATTTCTTATCATAAAAAGCAAGGTTCTATATAAAACAGTTCTGATCATAAATAGCAATATTCCATATAAAACATTTGTTATCATAAGAAGCAATGTGCTATATAAAACAGTTCTGATCATAGATAGCAATATTCTATATAAAACAGTTATCATAAATAGCAATATTCCATATAAAACAGTTCTTATCATAGATAGCAATATTCTATATAAAACAGTTATCATAAATAGCAATATTCCATATAAAACAGTTCTTATCATAAATAGCAATATTCTTTATAAATCAGTTCTTATCATAAATAGCAATGTTCTATATAAAACAGTTCTGATCATAAATAGCAATATTCTATATAAAGCAGTTCTGATCATAAATAGCAATATTCTATATAAAACAATTCTTATCATAAATAGCAATGTTCTATATAAAACAGTTCTGATCATAAATAGCAATATTCTATATAAAGCAGTTCTTATCATAAATAGCAATGTTCTATATAAAACAGTCCTTATCATAAATAGCAATGTTCTATATAAAACAGTCCTTATCATAAATAGCAATGTTCTATGATACTTTAGCGTCGATCAGCAACCTGTAGAGTTAGACAGTCCCTGCTCAGCTACTATACAAAAGGGTTGTTATCTCTCTTTCTGATTTTGTTCCGCTGATGACTGAATGAGTCCAACCAACTCTGAGTTCTGAACATAAACTTGAGCTCACTTGCCCTTCGAGCAGGTGAGCTAATACTGCAAAATAAGTTCTTACCATTTCATCTAAGAAATCCAGTAACTTCTGCATTGAACATTTGATGCCAGCCTCTGTGATTTCCTTCTTAAGCCAGTCCACTTCCAGCGGCTGAAACACCAACACGGTTAACTTTGAAAACAAATAATATTCAAGGGCAAAACATGTTCAAAAATATCTGTTTTCTTACATAATGTAATTAACTTTTCAGAATATACAGACATCTTTGTGGTGAAATTTGTCACAGATATGTTCAATTCATCTTGTGAAATGGCGACAAAAAGCTTGAACTGTCAAAATCCAAGATGACTGATTGCCATCTTGTTCTTCTAATCAGTTTCTGAATGAAACATGAAGAAGTAAAGGCCCAGTCCCACTGCACTTGCGCACGAATTACTCATGAATTGCGCATAAAATTTTCTTTGTGCGTGATTCGTCAGTGATGTGCGTAAATCCCACGTGTTTCACACGTGGAGCATCAGTTTTTGTAAGTGATTGTACGCGGAGACGGGTTTGTGCGCGATCGCTGGTTTTGAACGGTTCAAAACAATTTCCACGCACAACGTGCCCGATTAAACGCAGTTTATGCGCAGTTTGTACGTAGTTTGGACGTGGAAGGTGCGTGATATGTGCGTGTTCTGTCAGTGTTCCGTCAGTGCTTGTGCGTAAGGAACTGGCTCCTAGCACGCACATCACTGACGAATCACTTACAGGACACGCACATATCACTTACAAAACACGCACAATCCACGTATGTTCCACTTACAATCACTTACCAAAATTATTAACGCACAAAACGCGCTCGTGCGCTGTTCATGCGTGATCCATACGTGTTACATTCGCTATACATGCGTCGATTGAACGTCAGAAATTGTATCGGGTTTGGGCTTGTGCGCTGTTGTGCGTGGAATGTTCGTTCTTTGTCAGTGATTGTAAGTGATACATGCGCAGTTTATAGGCGATTCATCGATGATTCTGACCACGCACAACCCCAGAAAATGACCAATTTCTCTACGAACAATCACGCACAAACCAATTTTATGCGTGATTTATGCGTGATTTATGCGTCATTGGCAATGGGACTGGGCCTTAAGGATCAAGGGGAACCTACCCAGGATATTTTAGACAGTGTACTATTATTCACTGTCATGATAAATTGGCCTTTATTGTGGAGGGCGAAAAAGGTGAGAATTAACCTACAGCGAGTTTCCTGGTATACCATATAAATGAGATCCAACACTTCCACTAGAACCAACGGCAACAAGGATGCTGACACTGGCTTGACAAAATAAGCAGTGCCCAACTACTTTTCCCAAAGCTGAGCAAGCTAAAAGGAACAGGGTTTCTCCATAGCTAAGCAAGCTAAAAGGAACAGGGTTTCTCCTTGACATTTGGAGCTGAATATGAATTTATTCTCAATGTAATGTGAACATTCATCTTACCAATTAGAAACAAAAATTCCAAAATTAGAGAAAACATTTTCGTTCTCCTTAAAATGCTTTAACAGGGAATTAAGAAAATCCTGTTTTCTTTGAAAACATTTAAACAGAAGAAGATGGTTCAATATTTCCCCCAGCTTATGGAAGGTGGCAATTCACCAAAACACTGTTAAATCCTCTACCACCAAACTCCTGTTCTTACCTCGTACATCAGGGTTTTCCTGTGAATATCTGTGCGTGATATAAAAAACCGCTCAAGTTTTTCTGACAGAGCCGTGTCGTCTTTCTGTGACAGCTGTAAGACAGAATAATCTATGATGTATGGACATAAGGCCATCATTGGCCTGATACACTGGTAAGTGTTTTCAACATTAAAATGTTCATTATGCTAAACAAGAGGCCCAGAGGGCCTGTATCGCTCACCTGGATATCTAAGCAATCATGGCAAAATATTCTCCAAATGAGATCCAACGGAATATGCCAGACCTCAAGGCCAATCCTTGTAGCATATCTGTATTTGATTTTTTATGCCCAGCAATTTTATGTATGGTTATGGGGTGGGGATCTGAACTGTTTCCAAGCTGTGACTCAGAAACTAGGTCCCTAGGGTTGTGGCCAGACCCCAGGATCAATTCTAATATCATGACTGCATTGGTCTCTTTTTGCCCAGCATTTGTATATTAAGTTTGGGGGTGGGGATCTTAACCGTTTCAAAGTTATGACCTAGGGGTTAAGTCTCCAAGGGTGGGGCCAGACCCTAGGGACATCCTGGAAGCAAATGTGCATTCCTCTCGTTATACTCAACAATTGTATATATGGTTATATGGTGGGGATCTCAACAATTTCCAAGTAAAAAAAATAAAAAATGACCCCACCCCTTAGCCCGGGGGTCAGCCCCACCATTTGTACAATTTTGAATCCCTGCCTCCCATGAATGCTTTCGACCAAATATGATCAATATCCATGGTATAGTTTTACGGAAGATGTCGTTTAAAGTAATATAGCCAAATTGCCCCCTTTTTGCGCAGCCCTCAGCCCCCTGGGGGGTCAGCCCCACCATTTGTACAATTTTGAATTCCCACCACCTAGGGATGCTTCCAGTCAAATATGGTTGATATCTATCTCTTAGTTCCAGAGAAGAAGTCGCTTAAAGCAATATAGCTAAATAACCCTTTTTGGCCCCGCCCCTCAGCCCCCACGGGGGTCAGCCCCACCATTTGTACAATTTTGAATCCCTGCCTCCCATGAATGCTTTTGATTAAATATGATTGATATCCAGTGCATAGTTCTACAGAAGAAGTCGTTTGTAGCAATATAGTCAAAATGCCCCCTTTTGGCCCCGCCCCTCAGCCCCCTGGGGGGTCAGCCCAACCATTTGTACAATTTTGAATCCCCACCACCTAGGGATGCTTCCAGTCAAATATGGTTGATATCCATGGCATAGTTCTACAGAAGAAGTCGTTTGTAGCAATATAGCCAAATTGCCCCCTTTTTGCCCCGCCCCTCAGCCCCCTGGGGGGTCAGCCCAACCATTTGTACAATTTTGAATCCCCACCACCTAGGGATGCTTCCAGTCAAATATGGTTGATATCCATGGCATAGTTCTACAGAAGAAGTCGTTTGTAGCAATATAGCCAAATTGCCCCCTTTTTGCCCCGCCCCTCAGCCCCCTGGGGGGTCAGCCCCACCATTTGTACAATTTTGAATCCCCACCACCTAGGGATGCTTCCAGTCAAATATGGTTGATATCTATCTCTTAGTTCCAGAGAAGAAGTCGCTTAAAGCAATATAGCTAAATAACCCTTTTTGGCCCCGCCCCTCAGCCCCCACGGGGGTCAGCCCCACCATTTGTACAATTTTGAATCCCTGCCTCCCATGAATGCTTTTGATTAAATATGATTGATATCCAGTGCATAGTTCTACAGAAGAAGTCGTTTGTAGCAATATAGTCAAAATGCCCCCTTTTGGCCCCGCCCCTCAGCCCCCTGGGGGGTCAGTCCAACAATTTGTACAGTTTTGAATCCACACCACCTAGGGATGCTTCCAGTTAAATATGGTTGATATCCATCTCTTAGTTCCAGAGAAGATGTTGATTAAAGCAATATAGCCAAATTGCCCCCTTATTGCCCCGCCCCTCAGCCCCCTGGGGGGTCAGCCCCATCATTTGTACAATTTTGAATCCCCACCACCTAGGGATGCTTCCAGTCAAATTTAGTTAAATTCCAATAAGTGGTTTAGAAGAAGAAGTCGTTTAAAGAAATTGTTGACGGACGGACGACGGACGCCATGGTATGGCATAAGCTCACCTTGGTCCTTTGGACCCGGTGAGCTAAAAACAAATCTCATTTACCTAAGATGTTTGCTCCTGGAAGACATATTCAAAACCTAGGTTATAAAACACTTAGTAACCTTTCCCTACAAATCGTAATGTATATGCATTTAGCTACTTTAAGCTGCAATCACTATAGTAACTTTTTTGAATATTTTAAAATCTACATATTAATATATAAATTTTCTTCAATAGAGTTCAGAAAGTCACTAGAGTGACAAAGATGTTCTATAAATAGTAAATGACCTTGGCCATAACACCCTGAAACACAAACTTGTTAAAGGTTATCTCCTACTTGAATCTTGTATAAAGTCATTCAAAGGAAGGGCAAAGATATTCTTTAAATTCTAATGGCGACCTTAACGTCAGTCTAATGAAATATACATGGCTCGTGATCGTCTTCAAACTTTGTGTGAGCTTTGACTGCCATTATCTGAGCAAACATGAAGTTTGACTGACATCCCTCCTCCATATTAGGAGAAGTTATTTCAGGAATACATTCTCCACTTAAAATCAAGAAAGTATACTTAAAGTAGACTTAACAGGTACAGATTCGGTTCATCTTCCAACACTTCCTACCTGACTTGGCACGAGGTCGTCCGTGGATCCTTGCATGAAACTTTCTTCTACCATGTCACTACGTAAAACAAGAAAACCATCATCAACCAGCGAATAATAGTTGTCTTTTCCAAAATAAATCTTTTTTGTTAATCCCCCAGAATAAGTCTGGTATCCTAAACAAGTTTTAATCTGTACTGCTATGTTGAATTGCTCACCTGTGTGTGTTTAAATGTTAACTGGTGCATCACAAACATTACTGATCTATAGAAATCCAGTCCTAGACATGCCAAGAGGCTCAGAGTTCCCAGGGATGGGGCTGGATCCTGGATCCAATCTTGGTAGCATACATTTCTTTAAAATCTTTGTTTTCAGCAATTGTACACATCGTCATAGGGCCGAGATCTCAACAATTCGAATGTTGAGACCCCCTGACTAAGTCCAATCAGATACAAATCTGTACAATCTTTTCTATATAGACATGCTACCCATTCTCTGCATATGAAATACAAATTTCATACAATTTACAAGTTACACTAAACACTAGTGGAGTATACAAGTTTTCAAAATAGCATTCAGAAAAGCAAAAATGAAGTTTTAGCAAAGGTGACCTTGACCTCTGACTGCCTGCCCCATAAATCAACAGGATTATTTGTTTTCACTATGGCCTGCAATAAACCAAGTTTGAAGTGTGTATAGAAACTTTTTCTTAAGTTATTATCGGGACAAGCAAAACGAAGCAAAATTCTTTTTTAGCAATAGTGACCTTGACATCTGGCACACCACACCAAAAACAATAGGGTAACAACTACACACTGATTTGCACATTGTATGATCATTTATTCTCAAGATATCATCTGGACAAGCAGAATTCGATTTTAAGCAACTCTGATCTTAACCTCTGGCACACCATGACCAAAATCAATAGGGTTCTTTGCATCTATTAGGGCAACTCACACACCAAGTCTGAACTTTGTATTAGCATTTGTTCTCCGATTATCATCAGTACAAGCCCAATCAAGCATAATATATTTTTAGCAATGGTGACCTTGACCTCTGGGGCACCACACCCAATATAGATAGGGTTCTTTGCATCAATTAGGGCAACCCACACACCAACTTTGAACATTGTATAATCAATCGTTCTGTATATCAATAGTACAAACAGTACCTTTGAGATGATTCCTGACTTGAGTTTAATTCATCAGCTTCCGTATCTTTCTCCTTGGTACAACCTGATCCCTCCTCCTCATCTTCCTCACAGTCACTGTCTGTCTCATCTGTTCAAATTCAAAACAACATCCATTAACACCTAAAGTCCCTAGATGAACAAGCTATTAGTAGTTAGAGGCCCTGGGCTATAACAGTCAGCTGAGCTAAAATGTGTCAAGGAAGAAGATTCGCATAACCAAAGAATGTCTTTTTGACTGTGGATTGCCTTTTACAAAATGATGTTGGGGAGTGACCAACATTTCTATAGAGCTAGTAGGTATCAGTATAATGATATAATTATAATGAAGTAAAATTTAAAAGGTGATAGTTAAACTGCAATCACTGAAAAGTTGGTGAAAATTCACTCGTTAGTATCAAAGAAGAGTTCTTTTAAATGTTTTGCACATTGTGACCATTTATGGCCCTGCCCCTCAGCCCCCTTGGGGGTCAGCCTCATGTTAGAGTATACATTCTGATCCCTACCATGGCCTTATGATAAGCACCAAGTTTCATCAAAATCTGACAGAGGGTATCTAAGGAGATGTCGAAAAAGTGAATGTTTATGCACGATGCACGACAACAACGGAAAAGCAATTGCAATGTAGGTCATCTGAGTAAAACTCCGGTGACCTAAAAAGGGAATCCAAATATAGGTCATCTGAGTAGAACTCCGGTGACCTAAAAAGGGAATCCAAATATAGGTCAACTGAGTAAAACTCTGGTGACCTAAAAAGGGAATCCAAATATAGGTCAACTGAGTAAAAATCCGGTGACCTAAAAAGGGAATCCAAATATAGGTCATCTGAGTAAAACTCCGGTGACCTAAAAAGGGAATCCAAATATAGGTCAACTGAGTAAAACTCCGGTGACCTAAAAAGGGAATCCAAATTTGATTTTTTTTTAGTTGATGTGGAAGTCAATCATATGTACAGTGTAACCATATAGAGCGAAACACTTGTTAAGTAAATGTGCTTCAGGGGCTTTTTATTTGAAAACCAGTGGTGACTTCCTAAGGTACTTCCCTAATTTTCTATAATTTATTTTATTTCTCATACAAACATATATCATTAAATTTGATTCTCCATTGCTAATACTTTCAATAATCAGTCTTCTCTCTTTCTCTTTAAAAAATATTTTCTTTTTTCAATTTTGATGATCCAGCCTCTTGAATTCATCAAGAGGCTCCTGAGTAAAGAAATGATTGAGGTTATCTGAAGGCGATTTACACGGTTATCTGTAATGGAACACTTACATTGGTGAGTTTTATCGTAGACATCCTTTAACAAAGCAACCATCCTCTTCTTACCTACAGGGCGCACACCAATCTTGTTTACCGCTCGCTGTACAGAAAATAAAACGTTTTTGTGTTCAAATTTTACAAAACCACTTCTCCTAAATACTGGGCATTTTTGGTTTGGTTTTATTAAATGACAACGATATTCACTAACAATTCTGAACATGTCCAGTGCACTACCTATCAATATTTCTATACCAATTCAAATTATGTTAGATAAGCATATCAACACAAGTGTACCACAGTGGCAAAACAATATTCACCTTCCAATAACATGCGCAAATTTTGTTCAACTAAGCAGTAACCTTTGTCTTGGGTTAACATAACTATTGACCGAGTTTCGTCAGATTCTTGACATACATAAATATGAAGTAACTTTGTGGGAACGAAGCACGAACTCCCCTTTAACGGTTGAAACGTTACGACCCGGACAAGATTTTCCTGAAAACTTTGCACATATTTGACCTTTCACCTTAAGGTCAAGGTCACAGTGACCTAATGACAGTGCACTGTACACCGTCTATGGGTGATGCAGTTATACTGCAAGTTTCATCAAGATATCTTTAATGGTTAAAAAATTACAGCCCGGACAAGATGTTCCTGAAAAGTTGGCACCTATTTGACCTTTGACCTAATTTACTATAGAAAAGAGTAAATAGAACAGTAACATATTTCATAGTATTATAATTATTTTATAATCATTTTTTCACCAAAGCATCTCAGCCATGGGGAAGGGGTCCCAGACCTCTAGATCATTTAGCAAAGAGTTTATCCACTATGCTACTGGTCATGATATTTGGTTGTAAGGATCTTCCCTACCTTAAGCTGTGGCGTGTTCATGCCGTCGTACCGAGGCATCGGAGTAAAGGGAGAGGGTGGTTTCCATGGTTTAGCCATCGCAGCCTTCTGTTGATTACATACAGTTGGAGTCTTGAACAACTGAAATATTTACAAAGATAAACACTTCATTACCAATCCCTACATTGATGTCTAAATATAATTATTGAACATCTCTCTATTCTGTCAACCATTTACATTTCCCTATAAATAAAAGCCAATGTTTGGTCACATGTATATTTTTTTATAATCAGAGTTATCTAAGATTTTTTTATGACCTCAACAACATTTTCATAGCATTGTTTTACTGTTAGAAAGAGGCCAAGTACGTCACAAGCATGTGAGGGATCCATAGTCCCCCGTCAGTCAAAGATGTAGTCAGTATGATACTGTTATTCAGACTGAAAACAAACATCCTAAGATACATAGGTATACATAAGTTGCGTTCCAGACAGACAATGTTATTAACTTATTCACCCCTGAAGACACATTTGAACTCTTCCAATTCAAAAGTTAAAGTAGTTCAATATGAAATTTCAGGGGTGAATGAGATAAAAATGGACTCTGTATATAATGGGACGCAGTAAGGCCATTGTAGGTAAACAAGAGCCACAATGGGCCTGAATCACTCACCTGGTATTAATCTCACAGTTGTAATCTTAAAAGTGGACTAAAATACAGCTACAGGCAAAATATCAGTGTTTGATTCAAAAGAATCTATTAAAAGATTTAAACATGTGACAACTGTGACCTTGAAAATCAAACAAGGACATTAAGTTGAACGGACTCATAGCCTTTCATCCGAGCATGCTTCTGGCCAAATATCATTACCCTGGACCTTATTCAGAAGTTCAGTTTTCAACATATTTGACCCCTGTGACCTTGAATATAAGCCAGGTCATTCATTTGAACAAACTTGGTAGCCCTTCATCACAGCATGTTATTGGCCAAAAACATCGCCCTGGGCCTTTTGGTTATTCAGAAGAAATCGTTGAAAGATTTAAACATATTTGACCCATGTGACATTGAAAATGGATGAAAGTCATTCATTTGAACAAACTTGGTATCCCTTCATCCCAGCATGCTACTGGCCAAATATCATCATCATCCTAGGCCTTTTGGTTACTGAGAAGAAGTTGTTTAAATTAAAAAGTTGACAGACGAAGGACACCGCACCATGGCATAAGCTCATTTGCCCTACAGACAGGTCAGCTAAAAAGGACCGGCAGTAAGATATACCCAGACAAAGTGATTGTGGTCTGATAGACGGAGTGCCAATCCTGACTTCATGACCTCATAGGAGCATATCGCCTAGAGGTCTGTACCTCCTCCTGGTAAGGCAAATTAGAAACAGTTCGCTCTAAAAGTCCATTTCAAACTGGACAGGATGGGATGGTATCAACATAAACCACGAAAGATAAAGTTAATGGCAGCTAGAACAAGAGATGGTACTAACAACCAGGAAAGGTTAAGTTAATGGCAGGGAGAACAAGGGGAGGTACCAACAACCAGAAAAGGTAAAGGTAATGGCAGCTAGAACAAAGGATGGTACCGACAACAAGGAAAGGTAAAGTTAATGAAAGCTAGAACAAAGGATGGTACCGAAAACCAGGAAAGGTAAAGTTAATGGCAGCTAGAACAAGGGATTGTACCAACAACCAGGAAAGGTAAAGTTAATGACAGCTAGAACAAAGGATGGTACCGACAACCAGGAAAGGTAAAGTTAATGGCAGCTAGAACAAGGGATGGTACCAACAACCAGGAAAGGTAAAGTAAATGGCAGCTAGAACAAGAGATTCTATTGGCAACAAGAACTAAAGAAAGAAAAATTGGCAACCTGCAGTTCAAGGAAAGATAATGACAAACAGGGGTAACCAGGACAATAGAAGGTATTGGCAAGCAGGATGACAGAAGGAAACAATAACCAAGATAGGGGAAGGTATCAGGACCTAAGATAGGGGATGGTATCATGAACCAAGATAGGGGAAGGTATCAGGAACCAAGATAGGGGAAGGTATCAGGAACCAAGATAGGGGAAGGTATCAGGAACCAAGATAGGAGGAGGTATCAGGAACCAAGATAGGGAAAGGTATCAGGAACCAAGATAGGGGAAGGTATCAGGAACCAAGATAGGGGAAGGGATCAGGAACCAAGATAGGGGAAGGTATCAGGAACTAAGATAGGGGATGGTTCCATGAACCAAGATAGGGGAAGGTATCAGGAACCAAGATAGGGGAAGGTATCAGGAACCAAGATAGGGATTGGTTACAGAAACCAAGATAGGGGAAGGTATCAGGAACCAAGATAGGGGAAGGTATCAGAAACCAAGATAGGGGAAGGTATCAGAAACCAAGATAGGGAAAGGTATCAAAAACCAAGATAGGGGAAGGTATCAGGAACTAAGATAGGGGAAGGTATCAGGAACCAAGATAGGGGAAGGGATCAGTAACTAAGATAGGGGAAGGTACTAGGAACTGGGGAACTACAACTTGCTCCTCAGATAACATGATATCTGGCTATTGCCTAGCTGATGTTTCAAAGTATAATTCTGTACTGAGCACATGATTTGACTCAAAGTGGCATCAAAATGTCTTGTGACGGCTGAATTTTTCAATGCTGAATGTAAAAGAATTCTGGTACACTGACCATCTTAGCTTGACCGCCTGGTTCCCTGTCAGCCCTCAGTGACACATTATCTTCTCCCCAAACAAAACTCTCGTCAAAGTCTTCTGTTGGAGCTGTGTCCCGTAAATAACCTGGAGTTTTCTCAAGGTGCCTGGGAAAATTAGGTGTCTGCACGGCAGGAGATTGGTGAATGTTTGAATTTATCTAGAACAAGATGTAAGCATAATTTCAAATTAAGGACTTTTTACTTTGATAAATGTATGGTTATATGGACCTGAGGATGTGATATTGACCTCAACAATATATATATCTGTTACAGTTCATTCAAGTATTGAGTAAAAACAGTGACAATCAGAAAATATTATTTTGTTCGTCAAGGCATTTCTTTAAACTCATGCGACAAAGTCAGTTGAGATATTTTTTAAATTCAATGGACAACAGAGCCACAGCATGAGTTTCTCAGAAATTTACAGAAAAATTGTGTGCTTTCTTTTGATAAGGTTCTTAAGCTTTCCTTTACAAAATTCCAAGAATCGTGAGAGACAAAGAGATACTGACCTTCGCCTCACTTTCATCCTTGTTAGAAAAGGAATAATGTCCCTTTGGGGTCACAGAGGTCGGGGTCACAGAGGTCGAGGTCACAGAGGAAATGTCACCTGTTCCAACGAACCCTGCCCCACTGTCATCAAAGTCGTCCCAGACATCCCTCGGAATGGACATATCTAAAACACACAGCATTCAGAAAACACTTCATGTCACACATGTCACACATATCACACGTCACGCATGTCACACGTCACACACATCACGCACGTCACACACGTCACACATGTCACACATGTAACACATGTCACGCATGTCACACACATCACACATGTCACGCACGTCACACATGTCACACATGTCACGCACGTCACACATGTCACACACATCACACACGTCACACATGTAACACATGTCACACATGTCACACACATCACACATGTCACGCACGTCACACATTTCACACATGTCACACATGTCACACATGTCACACACATCTGAGTATGAAGACTGTCAAAATCTTGTATCTGATAGTTCCGAGACAAAGATAAAACATAGTATACAAGGTATCCAAGTACTTTAACATTAGTTACCTCAAACTATATATCTAATACCCTATGATTTCTCTCTACTTTCTGTTTAATAAACCTTTGTTTTGATGCTGTTCATAGTTAATCAGTTCCTGTATAATAAACCTTTGATAATTCATAGCTTAGTCATTTTTGTATAACAAACTTTTGATGAAGCTATTTTAATAATATTAAAGTTTAATCATTTCCTTTTGTTAATGCTGTTTGAAGCACTGTATACTGTGAAATTTTCGACAAGTCAAACTTTCCAGGAAAATCATTTTTGCTTAGTGCTAATTTCGCACTCCACATTGAATTACTATGTATATTATACTGTTTACTTATTTTCACTGTAATGATATAAGTTTGCCTTTGTTACAGAGGGCGAAAGAGGTGAAAATCTTACTACAGCGAAAATTTCCCTGCAATACAGTATATTGAGTCCTATTTGATAAAACTGTTTTAGAAATATTTTAAGGTATGAAAAGGATAAACATACATGTATACTTGATGCTAGATATTTTTGCTTCAAAGTAATTTTGATTTTATGATTTAACTGCAATGAAGATTGTCACAATATTAACACAAGTTTCCTAAATACAACAATAACAAAACTGATAACAGTATAAAACCTACCCTGATCAATGTCTAGAGCCGTTCTGTTGACAACAGGGCTAATTCCCTGATCAATGTCTAGAGCCGTTCTGTTGACAACAGGGCTATTTCCCTGATCAATGTCTAGAGCCGTTCTGTTGACAACAGGGCTATTTTCCTGAGACAGTTTCACAGGTGACACCTCTATCCACACAGCCTGGTGTTCTGGACCTCCAGTAGACGATCCTGTCAGTTCTGTATTCAATGACAGAACCTTCATTTTTTCGGGACTAGTTTCCGTTTGTGCATTGTGAATATTTGTTTTTGTAAACTTCCATTTCTTTTTCATCTTTGCATGGAATATGGGAGAGCCGTGTGGTATGTTCTGGAGATTATCCCCTATACACTCGACATCACCATCAACATGCCTATCAGTCTGTCCTGATGACATCACTCCCATGCTTAAGTTCAGAACATCTTTTCCGGTGTTCAATTCTTGTGATGGATCCAATTTAGATTTACAGGGTTCAAATGGTTGATCAGGTTTATTGGAATCAAATCGTTGTTCCGATACAAATAATTTTCTTGTGCCATGCTTCTGTGAATGAGAAAAAGTAGGCGAGTTGTTTTCCAATTCATTCGATGTTAAGTTCCTGGGAGAAATAGATTTTGGTGAGAGATTGAGAGATTTGGAACTCTTAGAAAACCTTGTTCTGTCATCTAAATAACTAGCATCCTGTCGTAGCTTTCTTGGGGAATCTGTTTTCCTTCGTTTGTTGCAAGGTGAAGGACTACCAAATAAATCTAACCCAGACGTTTCAGCGTTAGATACTGGGGTAGATACTGGGGTGTCTGAATAAAAAGATTCTGTCTTTTCCGGAGATTTGACAACAACCACAGGTGATTTTACTTTGGTATTTTTTTTTCTGGCAGCCCTCTTCCTTTTTTTAGATGGGGAGGATAATAAAAGAAAGCTATCCTCAGCAACATCGTCTTCAATCAGATCTGGGCTGAGTCGGATAGGAGAATTTTCCTCTGCCTGTCGAAACGACCTTGGAGGAGAAGATCCCATACTGACCAACTGATCGTCTTCGATTGACACGTTTATTGCAGGGTCCCATACCCGACTTGTTGACTTGCTGTTTTGTAGGAGTTTAGTCTTACACTGCTGTACTTGTGGATATAACTGTCTTGTCTCATTCTTCTCATCAAAGTCATTTATAGGACTCTGATCTTCATTTATTTCATCCTCACTTTCATCACTGCTGATGATGATGTCAGCCTCTTTCGCCTTTTCTTTCATTATTTGTTTTGTTTGTCGGTAACAACTGCTGTCTTCCATACCTGTATCTCTAACACTGGGCTGACCTGACAAATCAGTTTCCCTGTCCTGAAGACTGACGTTGGGAGAAACACTGCCTAAAGATGATGAACTTTCACTAGCAGTAAACAGTGCCACCTCATTGTCCTCAAAGATAATATTTCTGTTCTTGCTCTTGGAAGTCAAAGGTTGAGTTGTTGTGTCCTCAGTCTCATCCTTCTGAATGTCACAGGTCATGTCAAAGCTGTCATCCTGGAAGAAATTGTTTATTTCCTGCTGAAGTTCTTCTTGATTTCTATCGGAGTTATCTCCCTTGACTCCATATTCACATGCACGAGGACATTGTGTATTATTTGAGGGGCTCTTCCCTGAATCTTTTACAACAAGTGTTGATTTTCCACGATATTCATTCTCACCGGAATGATTCTTTACTGTATTTTGAGTCCGTGCCAGAGGAGATGTAATAGTCCGTGCCGGAGGAGATGTAATAGTCCGTGCCAGAGGAGATGTAATAGTCCGTGCCGGAGGAGATGTAATATCACCGTATTCTTCATCTGTCGTATTACGCCAGCTTTTAGTAGGACTCGCCTCAGCTGAACTCTCATGACAAGTCTCTGGATCGTCGTCCTCAGAAGACTCCCCCCAAACATTGTTTAAAATTCTGTCTACATCTGATTGGCGGTTTTTAATAGTATCAAGACGACTGTGGTTGTCCTGGTGACCAGCTAACGTGTTGTCCTGGTGACCAGCTAACGTGTTGTCCATTTCAGTAGAATCCTGTGCTAAAACTTCCTCACAGATCTTTGTCAGTTCATCAAGTTCTAGTCTGAATAAATAAAAATAAATTGGTGATCATGTGAAAATGTGATGAACAAGGCTGTTTGAAACCAACTGGTAATGTCCTGGTCCTTCCTCACACAGGGGAACAACCATCATTTAACAAGGCAAAGTATTGTGATCCATGGTCCCCCACCTCAACACAGCTACCCCCATATACAAACAAAACAATTTTCCTAACCTGATACACGAATTAGAACACTTCTCAACCAACTGAATAAAGCATAAAATTAAGTCAGATTAATGCAATTATAATCCATGTATCACTTGTAGTTATCTTAACATAAAGAAGCAAATTTCTCTTAAGAGTATATACATAAAAGAAATAAAACAAAGACTTTCATAGTGGTTCCCTAGTACTTTCACCTCTATTTATATTGACAGGACAATACCACATCATAGAAATTGATTTCTGTGTTGTGTTGTTGTCATGTCAACACGATTAAACACATCTGATATCTGTGTTGTGTTGTTGTCATGTCAACCCGATTAAACACATCTGATATCTGTGTTGTGTTGTTGTCATGTCAACATGATTTAACACATCTGATATCTGTGTTGTGTTGTTGTCATGTCAACATTATTAAACACATCTGCTATCAGTGTTGTGTTGTTGTCATGTCAACATGATTAAACACATCTGCTATCAGTGTTGTGTTGTTGTGTCATCAACACGATTAAACACATCTGATATCTGTGTTGTGTTGTTGTCATGTCAACACGATTAAACACATCTGATATCTGTGTTGTGTTGTTTTGTCAACACGATTAAACACATCTGATATCTGTGTTGTGTTGTTGTCATGTCAACACGATTTAACACATCTGATATCTGTGTTGTGTTGTTGTGTCAACACGATTAAACACATCTGCTATCAGTGTTGTGTTGTTGTCATGTCAACATGATTTAACACATCTGATATCTGTGTTGTGTTGTTGTGTCAACATGATTTAACACATCTGCTATCTGTGTTGTGTTGTTGTCATGTCAACACGACTTAACACATCTGATAATTGTGTTGTGTTGTTGTGTCAACACGATTAAACACATCTGATATCTGTGTTGTGTTGTCATGTCAACACGATTAAACACATCTGATATCTGTGTTGTGTTGTTGTCGTGTCAACATACTACCATCTAATGACAATGGGCCAATAAGCTACAAGTGTTCCTTAAATTAAACTGTGTATAAAACATTTTACCATTCTAACATATTCACCTTTACTAAATAAACTAGAATTATGTCAGTGTGACATTAAAGCCGCTCACCACTTTAAATTTGATTGCTTCAGTAACACATTGAGCATCAATATCCACTATAATACCTCAGATATTTGTTCTGTATTCTGCTAATTGAAAATCAGGTCATGTGATGATGTTTCCTTTGGAATTTCCAAAATCAATCACCTCTTAAATGATGCCTTAAAAACATTTCTCCCTCTCCTCTTTTTTCACCCTCTTTAAGTGTGCCTCATTGTTATAATTTTCATTAATTAGCATCCTCCGATGATGTGACATGAGCATTTACGTGCATAATGGCAATCGGTGAATGGACAATAAAGAATAGGTGCATTTGTGCTTGTGAAATGAAAGATAATTAACAGTAGTGGGAAAACATGCATGGAGAAAAGAGACATCGTACTCCTTTTAATTTAATTTATTTTTTATTCATATCAATAATAATTATTAATATATGCAGTGACTTTATTTACTGTCATTGAATATACAAAATCTCACAAATGTTCTTGGAATATATTTGAATTATATCTCTCAATACGACTTTACCAACGTAAGAGTTATTTCCTTTACACCAGATTGGATAATATTTTGACACGGCGCGAATTCTTGTCAAACAGTAGCGGCAGTTGTGTCATGTTCTTAAATTGTTACATTTGCATAATTAAATACACCAGAAAAAGCATGCTGTGTTACAGAAATGTTTGATAAGCATACACAGTTCACATATATCGTCTTGTCTCAAGAGCCATTACCGTTATCAACCTAAGCACGATATGTCATATTACGTTCCCGTTTGAAACATCAAAATAAAGGTTATACTTCATCACTCATACGGTTTATAAGTATATATATTTACTTCTTCCTTCTACAGACAGCGTCAATGCTTGACAGGCTTCACAAGTGCTTTTTCGAATCATGTGTTTCACACGCATAAACCTCCTCAGACCTCAATCCGAGTTGCTAAAATGCTCAAACCCAGTGCACGAATTTCACCACCACAACACTCGTAGAATGCACCGGAGATAAACATTTTGTTTTCAGCAATTATTTAAAGTATGGATTATTATTTGGAGAAGAGTATCAGAAGACTTTATGTAACCCACATGTGAGTGTCAGAGATTCTACTTTCTATTTACGATAACGAAACAAAATAGCGGAAGCATGCAAGACTGAATTATGCGCACGCACCCCGAACGAAAGTGGGTCTGTCATTTTGTTCTCTGGACAGAATTAACAAGCCGCTCGGCTTTCGCCAAGAGTGGCTTAAAAATGGATAAATTCAAATCCACTTCCATATCAAAATAATAAAAGGTCATAAGTCTTTGTATACTCTAGCATGAGGTATTCCCAAGATAAGGAAGAATACTAAGTTTGGTTAGGTGGAATATTAGGGAAGGTACTCTCCCGACAAACTATGGTATCAAAAATGAACAAAAGGTCAATAATCGGCTAAATATAGGCTTAAAGTTCTGAAGTGTAAATTTCTAAACAAGGGAAGCCACTCTGTAATGACCCCATTCTGTGACAATATGTTTTTGTCAGAACGTTATCTGTAGGTATATTAATGACTCTCTGTGTAGTCTGTCGTGTTACCTTTTCGATAGAGCCCTGGCTTTGTCAACGTTACTCCAACACAACGAGATGTGACCAGCATAAACATATTTGAGAATAACCAACATCACATCAAAGGACACTTCCAACACTATCTGGGAGTCCTGTTTCAGCTGTAAATTAAATTTGTACAGAACTGTATTGAACTTAGTGAATTTGTAAATCTGAGACTAAATTTTACAATTAAATTTATTAAACTTTTTATCATAAATATAAAAACTTTAACAAAACATTTGAAATTTGAACAAATCTATCTTTAACTGAGAATATGATCTTTGTCAAAAAGTGAAAACTTCAGAGCAATGGCAAATAGCATATAGCCAATAGCATATAGCCAATAGCATATAGCATATAGCCAATATCATATAGCATATAGCCAATAGCATATAGTCAATAGCAATGGGGACAAGTAGAGAATGACGTGTTTTGTTGATTTTAAAACGACATAATATTTAACAATGAACAGATCACCCTTTTCCTGCTACACTTCTTGGGTTGGTTTAGAACTGTAAACTGGAATGTTCACAGAAAATGTCTGATGACCCAAGATAGAGGCCCAGATGACGGGAGCATTCAGCAAACAATCAAACAGTTCACAGACATTTCAGAACAAAGTTGATTCTAAACACAACCTGGATCTTACCTGAAGGAGGGCAGGACATCTGTGGTTTAAAATAAGAGTGTGGGCATATACTTCCTGATTGTCCTGTACAATGATGGTAACGTCACTCCCCGACTGGTCATTGACCAGGCCTAACATGGCTGTCTGCAGACCTCTGCCTGCCTCACTCTGGAAAGAGCCCTAGTAAGAACAGGGTAAAGCATGCTAGAAAGAGCCCTAGTAAGAACAGGGTAAAGCATGCTACTATGTATTTTAAATTGTTACAAAATCACTTGCACTGTGATATTCTGTAATTTTTCAGATGTGACAAAAATGAAATTAATTACTGTTGTATCATTGTTTTTTGAAAAAGGTAGACCTTGTAATCTATTTATGGAACACTAATGATCTCAAAGCTGTTGTCTGTCTCAACTTAAACTCTTCTCTACCTTCACAAATATCACTACCCCCGATTACACAGTAACTTCTCTACCAGTGCAGGTGTCCTTCATTTAAATCATTCCTGATGTACATGTTTAATGTGGAAATATTTTCTTCAACAAGAAAAAAAATCCAATTTGATTTGTGACACTGTAAATGTGTTAGGAGATCAGATATCTAGTCATTTGTTAAGGATGGGAATTAAGATTCCATAGCCCTTCATCCCATTGGCCAAATACGGACAGACATCAGACACTGCACCTTCCCCTTTTGGCCCGGTACACTAAAAATGGTGCAGTTTTTCTACTTAATATTGTGACAAAATGTGTGATTTTACATTCAGCCTGATAAAACTGACCTTGATCTTAATGGTTGTCTCCGGACAGAAGCCGCTACAGTGGACAGAAGTCTCCAGTTCTTCCTCCTCACCACTGGCGGCTAGCTCAGCCAACACTATAGCTGTTTGAGTGGAGGCAATGAAGTTGTCCTTCTGAACCATCACATCACCATCATTCTGTCCCAAAAAAACCCCGTAGCAATGTAAACTACAGCACAAACTGAACATAAACAAGATGCTCACAGTCCTTGACTTACTCCCCTGGGTGTTTTGGAAATCAGGTTGAAATCTGCCTAGCAGTTTGGGAGGAGGAATATCAACATAGAATGTTAGTCACTTTTTGTTTATCTTCTCAATGGGCGGGAGACACAACAATTTGATAAAACTGATTGAGGGAGACGGTTACAGATTGTAAATAAAGTGTTACCTTACAATACACCAGCTCTTCTTGGTGGCTAGTCGACACCGATCTCCTCCGCCCTGGGATTTCCGACATTCTCCTTATCTTGGTTCCCATGACAGCCTTGGACACCTCTACTGGGGGCATTAGACTGGACACGTAGAAATCCTCTCCGATCTTTGTTTCCTTGTCCTCAAGACAGGACCTTGTCCACAGATGTGGGACCTCCTGAAAAAGAAAATATTTAAAACTGGCTCACTCATCCTCAAAACTGTTCTAAACTAGAACTGTAAGCCATAGGCTAACTAATAACCCCCGCTGCTATATAAACCAGAACTGTAAGCTAATGGCTTACTAAGACAAAGCTTTGCAAAGCAATCCATAGTCTCCCACCAGTAATGATTTCTTTATTGACCGAGCTGTACACTTATTTAAGTATACAGGTCACTGATATACTTCCTGTACTACCTCTTCATGCCAAAACATACTTACATACCGAATGTTTTTAGCCGAGATAAACCAGTAATGCTGAAATTGTCCAATTTCTTAAGGAAAAGTTGTCATGACAAAGATTTTTAACAAAGGGCCATAACTCCTTAAAAAGAGTCGAAATGAAAATCAAAGTACTGAAAGTACTGAAAGCTAAGGCAAAAGATATATATATATTATTTTTGGAATGGACAACAAAAAATATTGGAATGGACAACAAAATAAAGACGAAGTTCCCATCATATTGTACAGAAGGATTTACTGTTAATTTGTTATGAATCAAAGTTTTATGTAAAAGTGTACCACTGTGAAGTTATTCTTCTTGTGTGTACAGTATATCTTTATAGGTTTGTAAGAAGAGGGGTACCAAGTTTCCTCTAGAATATATCATTTTAAACCTTTGGATAATTAATTTGCATAGGAATTAGGAATTGCTTCCCTTTGTCCATACAATGTATTTCATAGAACATTAAAAACTGAAACTGGCATTTACCCCTTTGACCAATACCTGATTATTTTAAACCATTGAATAGATTATGCACAGATTGTGAACATCTTTGAACTTTGCCTTTGTTGTTGAATAAGATATCAACCCTTGCCTTATCTAACAAAGTTACTTGGCATAAAACCATTGACCAATCAGAGTACAGTATGCTAATTAATTAGGCATGGATTTCACTCAACTTTGAACTTATCGTCTAAGTTTGTATATTGATCAATATATATTCAAGCAAGTTATCTTGTAAAGTGTGCACATCGACCAGGGTTGGCATGCTTTTTAATACGTGTGAATTTTGTTCAAGTTTCAATTTTGCATCAGTCAGTGTATATTGTTACAGAACAATATTTATAAGGATGTTTACTTGCCGAAACTAAATTGTGGATAAGCAAGTGGATTACTGCTACCCATAAATTTACAAGTCTCTCAATAATTTTGAAAAACTTTTAAATAAAGTGTTTTACATATTCACTGCAGTGAAAAGGTCTCTTCTTATGAAAAATGGAACTATTTTGAATCTGTGTTCCCATGAACAAATAATATAAAAAGCACTCTAATTCAATATGATACATTGTTGTATGTTTCAATATTGAATAAGATAAACAAAATATAAACATACATACTCACACACACACACAAGATTAGGAGAGTTACATTATTTTCCCTCTATTTCCATTGCATAAATTCTTCACAAAGAAAACAACAACTTTATAGCATATGTTCAGCTTTATCATCTTCATAGGCTAGCATTTGAAATAAGATGCACATATTAATTTCAAATACATTTCAAAAGAGTACTGCAAATGTACCAGCTAGAACACATACTATGTTATTACAGTTGTCATGATTGTTGGTTTCAGAACTGATAGCATTGTGCAACAAATGTTGACAACAGGACTTATTGAAAGTTGAGGTTGCTTGTGTATATGCAAACAGGTAGTGCATGATTTAATGTTGAGAATGATGGATCAAGGTTTATAAAATTTGGTTTGAATACTTAGTTAGGAATGCACTGACAATTTCTCTGTCACATGTACATGAACAGGTTGTGAAGCTGTAGCCTTCACCTTGACTGAATGAAATTGACCTTAAAACTGTCTTGAACAATTGATGTATGAAATTTAGAAATGAAGTTTCAAGAAATATGGTTGAAAACTTAAGAAATAATTGCTTTCATTGACATTGATACAATCTTGTGTGCTATCCCTCTCATATATCACACAAGATTTAATATCAAATGTTGGACACAGTAAAATCGAGCGAAGTTAACAAATATCAAGTTACATATTATAACTTTTATTTTATTTTATTGATATTGATCATAAGCATTGTTAAAAGTACAATGTATACCAGGGATCTTACATTTCTTTTACTACTTAACATTTGCGTTGACTTTTAATTCATTGGACAAAAACTAAAAGGAAGCCATGACCAGTATTTCTATCTTTAAAAACATACTTTTAATTTTTTTTCCAATTTGCTCCCACCACCCATAGTGTTATATTGATCAAAACAAACGTTGTTTCCAACATTTGTGCCCTTAGTCAGTAGTGGGTGTTCAATCACATTCATCAGGGTTTCAGCATCAAGTAGGGGCTGTTCAATCACATTCATCAGGCTTTCAGCATCAATATTCACAGATTCAATCTGTTCCAAGTAAAGATCACTGACTTCTCCATTAAGGAAAAGTTTGCGAGGAAAGCATTTGAACTACATTTGAACTATTCGCTGATGGAAGGATCTGTGGACTCGGCTTTCATGTGTCTGAGAGAAAATGATTTAGTCAGAGGTTCCTCCTCTATAAAGTAACTGACAGATTTCAAAATGTCATGTCACTGTTGGTATAGTTCTTGCAGCCTTTTGAAAAAGTTCATGAAGTCCTCAAAGGTATGAGAGAGTTGGTACAGTTCCTATTTCTCATCCTCCTTTCTCCCATCAATAACCATCCCTGTCTGTTGTAATATTGATTGCTTTCCCCCCCTAAAATAGAACATAGTTACCATATAATTTCTGCACCAGCAATAATGTTTAGAGATGATATTCAAACAAATAGGAGGCATAGCAATATGAGCTTGTATAGTGAGAAATAAGGCATTAAAGCTGAGGAGTTCATTAAAATGTTTCAAAAACATTTCAATAAGTCAATCTCTTTGGTAGCAGAACTAAATATAAACAAAATGTACATTAAATTCAACTTATAACAGCACATCATATGGGGGCTTAAGACATCTAATTCCTTAGGTGGTAAAACATGTGTACATAAAAAGGTACCAGTAAAAACAAAACAAAATTAGTTTAAACACACGCACTTAGATATTCACGGTTTTCATTAATACAAAAGATGAAGCAGAACATCACTCTCCCCTGGTTGTTTCCATAAAGAAGAAATTAACCAGGAAACATGGAGATGTCCATTGCACTCCTTTATTTTGCTTACAATGTGCAAATGTGCCTACTATGTGCTAATAAGCTTTCCATGTTATGGTTTTGTTTTTTATGTGCTGTATGCAAATGTTCTAAATGTGCTTAAATTACCATGTGCTGATGTGCTTACCGTGTTCAATGTGCCTATTAAGTGCTTTCCAAGTGATAAACTCTTTTTCTGAGCTTACAGTATACTACATGTACATACATGTTTTTATTTTATTTTTCCATGTTGTAATATTTTGGTCTCTGTTATTATACTCATGTTTTGTCTTTGTAGCTTATGTTGTATGTTTTGCAAAATGGACGTAAAATATATATTTTTGTATCTTGTACGTGCTCAAGGATTTTATCTGTAGTTTTTGGGACTATATATAGAAAAACTTTACCCCAGTATGAGGAATTGTTTTACACATTTATCATAAAACAAGTTATGTTCAGATTTCAGACAGAAGATACTCTAAAATTGTACAACTCAGAAAAGGTTGAAAAATATTTATAGTTCATTTTTTTCTGCTTAGAAATATTTAATCTCTAAATTACAAATGATAACTGTTTTAACAGGTCTAGTTTCCGAATTGGAAACCAAACCCTGTCTGACCTATAAATGATCATTATATAAGGCCAATTAAAAGTTTAAAACAAATATTGAGTTTATGCTAACCCCACAGATACTGGACACACTAATAGTAATATGATGTGTATAAACTATGATATATTATACACACTATACTTATTGGTGTGTTCGACACCAGTGTGGTTAACCAGACTTATCTCAGATTTGTGTTCTACAATACCCTTAAGTTTTTATATGCACTGTTAAAGTCAGAACTCCTGCTCTATATTAGCGCAGTAAAGATATTTTTCAAATTAACAATAAAATGCCTAGCTAATACATACCTACCCTATTTTTTTCTGATAGTAGAAACACAAGTAATTTGTTTGGCCTAATGTTTCTGTCATTTCATAATATTTAGAACTACTATACTTGTTTAAGTTTCCAAAACATCAAGTAGTATAACAATTGAAACTTCAATGAAAGCCAACATCACAATGAATCTAATAATACAATGTTTATAACATGTTTTTTTTTAACTGAATGAGAAGAAATGTAAGGCCAAATATCCTCACAAACAACGCTTAAGTGAAATCAGTTTGCAACTAAGCAGTTCGAAAATTTTGCAACACGTCTGGAGAAAGACGTTCCTCGTGACGCTGTAATTCACTAGAGTAAAACGTCCGTTTATTATGTTTGTTTTTGCATAATAACTGCTATACATACCGTAGAAGCACCTTCCTTTTTGTCATCGCCGCTGACAACATGCGCCATTCTCTGCGGCTTCGGCCGCATGCTTGGCCACAAGTCACCGAAATCGGGATACATAGCCTTATTTATGAATCAGTAGTAGGTAAACGTTGCAGAAGTGTATGTATATTGTTCATTGTCAATGCTGCTTAAACAACATGCCTAACATTAAGTCAACACTCGCCTGCATTTTCGTCTTTTCCGCTTCGCGTTGCGAATGATGTCTAGGCCTACACAAAACGAAAGTAAAATGTGCGCATGTCTAAATGTAAGGGAGATCACTCGTGTTTTCCCGCAGTATATGTCTGAAATCATTCCGAAGGTGTTGTTGTTTTTGTGTATATTGAAATAAAAGAGTCCTGTTATATGGTAATACTTCAATAAACGAAAAACACAAATCACACCAACAGACATATAAAATGTAGGCCTATCGGAGCATATTTTCGTTTCTGGCTGAGCTGTAATTAGCGAGAAGGCGATATAAAAATGCAATAGCATATCTTATGATGAAAATAGAACAAAATGATAATACTGCGAAGGTAAAAAAAGCCTTCAGGTTAGAATACCAATATGGAACTAGAGAAGGACAGTGGCTAGTTCTAACATGATTCCCGGTCTCATCTGCCCCGGCCGGTTGATCCCATTTTAGTTAGGCAAGCCTGGTGTGAATCACACGGAGGCGATTTTAGAATTAATTGACAGGATCCGTATCCATTAATAGGTTTGTAATATGAACTTTTTATGTTGATCTCCTACATAATTGTAAGTTATACTCCGCCTTATATTTCGTTAAATTATCAAGTTTACGTAACAAGTGCAAGCGAAATCCTAATTGACTGCCATGTTGGAAACTTCCTCAATCTTTCCGATATAGGTCAGACGTCTAAATATGGGTGTCATGACCAAATATGGAAATTGTAGTAAACATGACCGCATCAGTAGTAATACTATATTTGGCCGTGAAGGCCATATAAGGAAACGGATAACATCACGCGTGATCTAACATGGCCGTCGTTTCTTTTTTTAGAGTTTTTAGTAAGGATTTGTTATTTTAACGATGAACGAATATGCAATATTTTGATAACATTATAATCATATGAAGCGTGAATCAGATATATTATTACTGATTAGCACTTTTGATTATCCTCAGTTAGTTGGAACAGGACCGCTTCATAGCTCTGACCACGCAATATATAATTGTAAACAGGGACGTAAATGTCACCAATTTTAGCCAATCACAGGACAATATTTCCGTGTAAAGGGTTAATCCAGCGACAGTTCCAAGAGTAAATACGAAGTTTTAGAAGGATACTTAGTTCTAACTAAGAATAAGATTATATCCAATGACGTTTGAGTGAACTTGAGTCCGTGGTAATGGATTTTATTTGCAGTTTGTTTAGTATTACTAGAAGGTGACGTTATGTCTCGTTTATGAATATCTGAGCTCATTAACTGAAGTATTTTTACCGGAAGTTGCGTGAAGCATGCATGACCTACTGTCAAGTGGCAGTTCCCGATTGGGATAAACAGGGTGCATTTTCAATAAGAATACGACGTTGTGATAAGATCATATGTTCTACAAAGGAAAGTAATGATATTTACTAGCCATTCAAGTGCATTTGAGTCCAAAGTTACGCATAATAAAGACAGTAGGTCCGGTATATGGTTCAATTTAGTACCAGTGCTGACCGCTAGAGGCGTCTGTGTGAAATCGACATTTATGAATATCTTGAGCTCATTAACTAAAGTAATACCAATAGCTGGCGGCTAACGGCTTAGCTAAAAATACTAGCCTGATGCACCGCATCAGGGTGTAATTACAATATCTGTAAAATTTCATTTAAATCGGCCCAGTAGTTAATGAGGCAGACAAAGGTTTATTCACGAAGGGCCATAACTCCTTTTAAAAGGGTTAGAAGTACTACTTGGATGCACAACGTCAGGGGACAATTACCATATCTGTAAACTTTCTTTGAAATCGTCCCAGTAGATTAGGAGAAGTTGTCAGGACAAGAATTTTTCAACAAAGGGCCATAATTCCATAAAAAGGGTTGGGAAAAAAATACCTGGATGCACAACATCAGAGGGTAGTTATCATATCTGGAAACTTTCGTTGAAATTGATCCATAACTTTACCTAATGTGTCTGTAATGACAACTCATTTGTTGTGTCTGTGGTGACAACTCACCTGTTGTGTCTGTAGTGACAACTCACCTGTTGTGTCTGTAGTGACAACTCACCTGTTGTGTCTGTAGTGACAACTCACCTGTTGTGTCTGTAATGACAACTCACCTGTTGTGTATGTAATGACAACTCACCTGTTGTAGTCTTAGTTCACTGCTCCTGATGGTTGGAGTACATTCAAGTTCCTCCTCTTCATCCTGACAAACAAAAATTAAATAAACTGTTTTGGTTTTATTTAATATCTAACAGGTAAAAATACATTCACACATCCTGCAAAAAATCTGATGTATTTCTATAATAAAAACTGAAATTGAAGAACAGCAGAACCTTGCCAAAACAGTAGGCCCATAAGATCTCAACTGCTCACCAACAATCTTCAATATACGATTAGCAGAAGTTCAGTTCAAGGTCATTTATCACTCCCCCACACCAGCAACAGACCAAATACCATTAATCTAGGCCTCATGGAGTCTAAAAAGAGTTTCAAATATTTTAACAAAAATCATTTCTAATATGACTGGATTGTGAATGTCACTGCAAGAACAAAGCTCATCATATTTAAGTAAGGTACAGACCAATACTGTGAAATGCACTTGTAAGTGGCCGAGCCGACTTCTCTGTATGCTGTGTGAGCAGGTCGACTCGCCCGAAGGTGATGAGCTGTTGTGTGTGACAATAGCGAATGTAGTCTACACTTGGTCAAGCCGCTATATCGCCATATTTTGCGTACTGTTGGTCTGATGGTAGATTACACTTGCTGTTGCAGGCTAACCTTATAATTAACCTACATATAACTTGTAGCTTCTTACTACAATACCATTACTCCTGGTTTTCAGAACAAGTTGTAAGTACATTTTAAACCATATTTGACCTGTGTGACCTTAAATACAATATTATTTATTTGTACAAACATTTTTACTCTCCATTCTTTGAAGTAACAGCTACTTATCACTGAATTCAAGGACAAAAATACATTGCCAATTTGTATAATTTTATACTTACCTGAGGGACTACAATACTGCATACTTTTAGTTCTCGTCGTCTGTTTTTTTCCTCATCTGACAAAGCCAGGAGCAGTGGCACACCTTCTGGATCCCTATACAAGTAAACACACTCACCATCTATTACTTCTGATCCCTATACAAGTAAACACACTCACCATCTATTACTTCTGATCCCTATACAAGTAAACACACTGACCATCTATTACTTCTGGATCCCTATACAAGTAAACAAACTCACCATCTATTACTTCTGAACCCTATACAAGTAAACACACTCACCATCTATTACTTCTGATCCCTATACAAGTAAACACACTCACCATCTATTACTTCTGATCCCTATACAAGTAAACACACTCACCATCTATTACTTCTGATCCCTATACAAGTAAACACACTCACCATCTATTACTTCTGATCCCTATACAAGTAAACACACTCACCATCTATTACTTCTGATCCCTATACAAGTAAACACACTCACCATCTATTACTTCTGATCCCTATACAAGTAAACACACTCACCATCTATTACTTCTGATCCCTATACAAGTAAACACACTCACCATCTATTACTTCTGATCCCTATACAAGTAAACACACTCACCATCTATTACTTCTGATCCCTATACAAGTAAACACACTCACCATCTATTACTTCTGATCCCTATACAAGTAAACACACTCACCATCTATTACTTCTGATCCCTATACAAGTAAACACACTCACCATCTATTACTTCTGATCCCTATACAAGTAAACACACTCACCATCTATTACTTCTGATCCCTATACAAGTAGACACACTCACCATCTATTACTTCTGATCCCTATACAAGTAAACACACTCACCATCTATTACTTCTGATCCCTATACAAGTAAACACACTCACCATCTATTACTTCTGATCCCTATACAAGTAAACACACTCACCATCTATTACTTCTGATCCCTATACAAGTAAACACACTCACCATCTATTACTTCTGATCCCTATACAAGTAAACACACTCACCATCTATTACTTCTGATCCCTATACAAGTAAACACACTCACCATCTATTACTTCTGATCCCTATACAAGTAAACACACTCACCATCTATTACTTCTGATCCCTATACAAGTAAACACACTCACCATCTATTACTTCTGATCCCTATACAAGTAAACACACTCACCATCTATTACTTCTGATCCCTATACAAGTAAACACACTCACCATCTATTACTTCTGATCCCTATACAAGTAAACACACTCACCATCTATTACTTCTGATCCCTATACAAGTAAACACACTCACCATCTATTACTTCTGATCCCTATACAAGTAAACACACTCACCATCTATTACTTCTGATCCCTATACAAGTAAACACACTCACCATCTATTACTTCTGATCCCTATACAAGTAAACACACTCACCATCTATTACTTCTGATCCCTATACAAGTAAACACACTCACCATCTATTACTTCTGATCCCTATACAAGTAAACACACTCACCATCTATTACTTCTGATCCCTATACAAGTAGACACACTCACCATCTATTACTTCTGATCCCTATACAAGTAAACAAACTCACCATCTATTACTTCTGAACCCTATACAAGTTAACACACTGACCATCTATTACTTCTGATCCCTATACAAGTAAACACACTCACCATCCTATACAAGTAGACACACTCGCCATCTATTACTTCTGCTCCCTATACAAGTAGACACACTCAACATCTATTACTTCTGATACCTATACAAGTAAACCCACTCACCATCTAGTGCTTCTGATCCCTGTACAATTAAACACACTCACCATCTATAACTTCTGATCCCTATACAGGTAAACAAACTCACCATCGATTACTTCTGAACCCTATACAAGTTAACAGATTGACCATCTATTACTTCTGATCCCTATACAAGTAGACACACTCACCAACTAGTACTTCTGATCCCTATACAAGTAAACACACTCACCATCTAGTACTTCTGATCCCTATACAAGTAGACACACTCACCATCTATTACTTCTGATCCCTATACAAGTTAACACACTCCCCATCTATTACTTCTGATCCCTATACAAGTAAACACACTCACCATCTAGTACTTCTGATCCCTGTACAAGTAAACACACTCACCATCTATTACTTCTGATCCCTATACAAGAAAACACACTCACCATCTATTACTTCTGATCCCTATACAAGTTAACACACTCACCATCTATTACTTCTGATCCCTATACAAGTAAACACACTCACCATCTATTGCTTCTGATCCCTATACAAGTAGACACACTCACCATCTATTCCTTCTGATCCCTATACAAGTAAACACACTCACCATCTATTACTTCAAATATCTTTATACAAAATAATGAACTTTACAAACACCAACTGTCCAAATCCAAGATGGCTGCGTTGTGGCCATCTTGTTTTCCTGATCAGTCTAAAAATGAAACATGCAAAACATTTGACCATTTATACAAAATTTGAAAAACAGAACTTAGCGATAACAATAATTGTTTATGGATGGACATTAGACTGAGGGACCATGGACCATATTCGAAGGGTGATTTGATCAGCCTAATGATGGTGGGCTAAAAACTACCAAAAGAAAAAAAAGAAAATATGTCAAAAAGAATTTGTTTTCTAAGAAAGTTCAGTAGAATTGTACCCCTTTTTGTGCTGTTTCCTTTTCCTGTTTCCCTTATTAATCTGTATGTTTATTGCTGCTGCACGCTCGGAGCCAAGTGTCTGACCAATCAACTCCGCTTCCTTTTCTTTCTCATCATCGTCTAGAGAGGAGGATATCGCCATGGCGAGATGAGTGTCCTCATCAAACAGGCTGGAATCAGAGATTTGCATGGTAACTGTTAGAAGGCAGACTTAAACACTTGATCTCACGACTGACCATAGCTGTTAAACACTCCATATCTCACGACTGACAATAGCTGTTAAACACTCCATATCTCACGACTGACCATAGCTGTTAAGCACTCCATACCTCAGGGCCAACTAGGACCAAATGATTAATGATTTCTTCATTTCTCTTCCTATACTTTCCTAGGCAGTAATTTACTTTTTAAAAAGTGATGTATTGTTTTCTACAGAAGAATTTTAATTTAGGAAGGAGAGTGTGATACATACGTAACTAACACATACAGTACTTCATAAGCCTTTAAGGTTTGAGGTATATCTTACGTTTTTGGTTCCTTTACTTTTCTACCCCTTGTGTTGGACGTACAACTCCCAGCAGTAGTCTTTACTTTCCTAGTGAAAAAACCCACATTTATATCATATTAATTCAATGCAGTGAACTTTGTAGACCGTAACAGTCTGATAAACTGGTTTTGTTTACATGGTTTAAGGGATGAAACCTGCAGGATCTGTAAATGTTAATGCAGGCCTCAAAAGTCCATGTAAAAGCTTGACAGAGTGCACCATCAAATTACTAGGTCTGTCCATATTTCATCAACAAACGAGTCTGGTCCATTTGGAACATGATACGAAGAAATTGGCTCTAGTGAATTTTACTGAAAAACCACGCAGACAAAATAACATGCCTTACATGCCAAGTGGTCCAAAATAATATCGCCACGTAATTTCTGGACAAATGTAGGCACAAGGTATGACTTAAATAACTTCTGGTAATCTTACAATAGGCCAACAGGGTCTGGAGCTGGTCACGTAGTGATTAAGTTACTTTTGGAACCGTTATCATCAGATTCCTTTTATGACAATTATCTGCAAAAACATGTAATTTGTGTATACATAATTTATGTAGTCAAACTCTAAGGGCATGTGTTTCCTCTTCTCTGAAACAGAATCATAAAGTGGCACCCCTGTTCAAAACACAATGACATCATGCATGACTAATCACATTACACCTATGACAGAACTAATCTCCACCTGCTTGATCATTATCTCATTATAAATATACGAACAGACACAGAATGATACCTACACAAACTTTTGCAGGGATTTTAAATGACAAAAGTAAATGGAGTAATGGAAAGTACTGCATATATATCAGCGGAATGTGAAATTATTATTTTTTTAGGAGAGGGGGAGATTAAAATCAAATGTCCCATATTGAAGGCAATTACAGACACTGCTACATCGCTGATTTTTGACAGTATAACCAAAACAAAATCAAATTGATATATTTTTCAGGATTTGAAAAAAAAGCCTACATGGAATTTGTTGGGTTTTTTTTCAATTTGACTTCAGTTATACTTACCCAACCTCTGGAGGAATGATGCCTGCTGCCACCTTCAACTTGTGTTCCTCCTCTTGGTCCCTCACAAGCTTGAGAATTTGGTCGGTCATTATTCCATTTGTCAAGGCACACTTCTTAAGGTGAATTTTTCTTGCCTAAAATTTGAAATACTGTTAAAATTATGTCTTAAAAGATTTTTTACCTATCAAACTCCCTAGTGGAGTTACATAGCTTATTATACATAGTAATACCACTGTGTAGACCATTAAATACAAACTTCACCTGATTTTATTTGTGGAATGGGTAAATATTTAGAATGTGGGGAAATTCTCTGTATAACTGAAGGAAAATATCAGGTAAACTATCCTCAAATTTGATTTCAAATGTGGAATTATCTTTTTAATTTTTCCGGTAATTCATGCAAACAAGGTACAATGTACTGGCCTAAAGGAGGAGACATTCAGTGTTTTAATGAATTAGACCCCTATGACCTTGAATAAAAGTCAAGGTCATTTCTTTTCACAAAATTTGTAACACTCCATGTAAGATACAGGCAAAATGTCATGACTTTTATTCTTTCATTTCTTCAGAAGAAGTTTTTTTAGATGTCCATAATTTTAACCCTTTTTTGGCCTTTATGGAACCCTAAAAGAAGGGCCAGCACCCCTACCTTTTTTTTGTAAATCTGATCTGCCATCACCTAGGAATACTTCCCACTGAATTAGGCTTAAATCTATCCAGTGGTTACAAAGAAGTCCAACAGAGGATGGACAGCAATTTCAATGGCTCTGTTTGTCCTTCAGGCCAGGTGAGCCAACATGAGGCCAATGTGCCTTAACAATCATGGAGTTGTAATGTGTTGTTATGATGTAACTTAAATGAACAAATAACTAACATGTGAATCTGGTACGTATCCTATATAACCACAAACCAGATGTACACCTTGCAGTAGACATCTGAACACTAACATATAAACACAACCTACTAACAATAAGTAGTGTTGGCACAAGGGGCAAACTCAGCTTACACATGTACAAGAGTATCATTGTGATATTTTTCTTGGAGTAGTGTGGACAATGTTCCACATTTACTTCAACCTATTGTTTGCAGGCTGTTATTGTGTCTATGCGCTAATAGTGGCTACAGGTTACCAAAAAGCCTTAATGAACAACAGCAGCTTGTAGTATGCGTACGTGTAATAACACCCCTATATGCTGTGTGACAACTGACAACAGTACTCCAAATAGCTCGTTTTGACTGTGGATTTGCTGAAAACATGATGTTTGCTTTTATAACCATGTATATGTATGTGCATATAGCTGTTATTGTCAGGGGAAAAAAGGAAGAAAATATCATGTTAAATGAATACAATTGGTCGGAATAAATATGTAAGAAAATGCTAAATAAATATGGTAAATCCCTACCGACCTAGCCTATTTTCAGTCATTTTACCTGAAACATACATTTGTTTCCTTGGCCTTGTATACCATCAAACTGTAATCACATAATACCAACCAAGTTTGAATTCTTTCCCGCTGAAAATACACAAAATATACCCTCCCCTCGGAGGAATGCATGACCTGAGGGTAGTGAAATTCAAATTTTGATAAAGCACCCTAGATCTTTCCATTTATGAAGTGGATTTGACTCTAGCACATCTGGGTCTGAACAAAATTGTTGAAATATTACTTAGACGAAAATGTGAACAAGTTTGAGGAAGCACAATAAACTGAAGTGGGCAACAGGTGATCACAATAAGTCAACCGAGTCCGTCTCAGGTGATCACAGTAAGTCAACCAAGACCGTCTCAGGTGATCACAATAAGTCAACCGAGACCGTCTCAGGTGATCACAATAAGTCAACCGAGACTGTCTCAGGTGATCACAATAAGTCAACCGAGACTGTCTCAGGTTATCACAATAAGTCAACCGAGACTGTTTCAGGTGATCACAATAAGTCAACCGAGACCGTCTCAGGTGATCACAATAAGTCAACCGAGATTGTCTCAGGTGATCACAATAAGTACACCGAGACTGTCTCAGGTTATCTCAATAGGTCAACCGAGACTGTCTCAGGTGATCACAATAAGTCAACCGAGGCCGTCTCAGGTGATCACAATAAGTCAACCGAGACTGTCTCAGGTGATCACAATAAGTACACCGAGACTGTCTCAGGTTATCCCAATAGGTCAACCCAGACTGTCTCAGGAGATCACAATAAGTCAACCGAGCCCGTCTCAGGTGACCACAATAAGTCAACCGAGACCGTCTCAGGTGATCACAATAAGTCAACAGAGACCATCTCAGGTGATCACAATAAGTCAACCGAGACTTTCTCAGGTGATCACAATTAGTCCACCGAGACTGTCTCAGGTGATCTCAATAAGTCAACCGAGACTGTCTCAGGTGATCACAATAAGTCAACTGAGGCTGTCTCAGGTGATCACAATCACAACCGAGGCTGTCTAAGGTGATCACAATAAGTCAACCGAGGCCGTCTCAGGTGATCACAATAAGTCAACCACCCCGTCTCAGGTGATCACAATAAGTCAACCAAGACCGTCTCAGGTGATCACAATAAGTCAACCGAGACCGTCTCAGGTGATCACAATTAGTCAACCGAGACTGTCTCAGGTGATCACAATAAGTCAACCGAAGCTGTCTCAGGTGATCACAATAAGTCAACCAAGACCGTCTCAGGTGATCACAATAACAACCGAGGCTGTCTCATGTGATCACAATAAGTCAACCGAGACTGTTTCAGGTGATCACAATAAGTCAACCGAGACTGTCTCAGGTGATCACAATAAGTCAACCGCGGCTGTCTCAGGTGATCAAAATAAGTCAACCAAGACCGTCTCAGGTGATCACAATAAGTCAACTGAGAAAAACTATAAATAATAAATAAGAATGTTGGAAGTTACGTTTTCTGTTCTGAAAGGTTTCCCACACATTGGACAAGAAAGAACAGCTTTACTGGCTCTCTCCAGATTTAACTTTTCCTTTTCTTCATCTTTCTTCCTTTTCTCATCCTGAAAGTATGAAAACATATTTGAAGCACACTTTTTATATCCTGTTGTTCGTTATCAAGCCTTTTAATTTTTGATATATTTGACCTCTGTGACCTTGAAAGTAGGTCAAAGTCAATTTTGTTCGCAAACTTTGTAAGGCTCAAATGTCAACCCTCTTAAATCTTTCAGTTCCTTAGCGCTTTTGGTTCTTTAGAAAATGTCAATTACAGTTTTAGACTTATTTGACCCCTGTGATCTTGAAAGCAAGTCAAGGTCACTTTTGTTTGCAAAATTGTAAGTCTCCACCCCAGAAAGCTATAAGCCAAATATCATGAATCATGACCTTTTGTTTCTTCAGAAAAAGTAATTTTAAGTTTTTGACATATTTGACCCCTGTTACCTTGAAAGAAAGTAAAGGTCATTTTCATACACAAACTTTAGTTCAGCTCTAACTAAGGAATCTACCAGCCTAAAATCCTAACTCTAAGCCTTTCGTTTCTGCAGAACAAGTCATTTGAAGTTTAATGTGTAATTGATCATTGTGACATGAGAGTAACTCCAGGTCATTTTTGTTCACAAAACATTGTTTGGTTCCATCCAAGGAATCTACCAGCCAAATCTTCAGAAGGGAGGTTTTAAATTATAGACATATTTGACCCCTCTTACCTTACACATGTGTCAAGGTCATTTTTGTTCGAAAAATTTAATGGGCTCCATATCTAAGGAATCTACCAGCTTTATAGTAGGATTCTAGGCATTTTGGTTCTCCTGAAGAATTGAATTTTCAGACATATATGACCCCTGTGACTTTGAAAGTAGGTCAATGTTGGTTTTGTTCACAAACTTTCTTTAGCACCATCAAAGGAATCTACCTATCAATCTTATATTACGACTCTAGGCTTTTAGGTTCTCCAGAAAAGTTGTTTCAAGTGTTAGACGTATTACACCCCTGTGAGGTCCTTCATTTTTATCCTCAAACTTTGTTGGACTGCATCCAAGGAATCTTCCAGTAATTTGAAGTTTTACACCTATTTGACCTCTGTGACCTTGAAAGTACATCAAGGTCATTTCTGTTTGCAAACTTTGTTGGGCTTTATTCAAGGCATCTACCAGTCTATCCCTTCGTGCCAAGTGAGCTAGCAAAATTCATGAACAGCGTCAGTTTGTAATGTGTTTTTGATATCATACCTTGTGACAAAATTGTTCATTATTCAGTCTTACATCTTTTCTGTGCCATATTTTTCATTTTTAAGCACAGATTATTAAAAAGCAATATATAGTGATACAGGAATAACTATGATATTTGACATGATTCCTCAATTTCAAAATTATTTTTGTTTCTCTAGTTGCTATTTCATGACCTTCAAAAAAAAAAGGAATAAAAATTTCCAAAAAAACACTTAAATTATATTTGTTTCTTAATTGACTGTATATATACATAAATGTATTCTGCATATACACTTTCTAATTTTTCTTACATTACTTCTTTAGAAAGCACTACTTTGGCCAAAACATTTTTTTGTGAAAAGTAAAATTTGAGCCGGTGTGTGTGTGGGTTTTTTTAGAAATCAGAACTCTGACCACCCTGCCATTCAGACACTTGTTTTTATCCCCAGTCAGTGTTTGACATGTACACGTCCTAATGAAGTCAACATGATCCTCGACAGGCTGATATTGTGGTGCAGTGTTATCAAACGATATTAACATAATTATTTACAATTCTGTAGGTAGTTTACCTTATCCATACATCTGTTGAGGTGCTGTGTTTTCAGTTTAGAGTTAAGACGAGACAAATCTTTCTTACAGAACAGACAGAAGTAGCCCTCATCCGTGTCTGCTTCCTGCTTTACCTCGTCCACTCTCTTGCTCTGTCTTCCTGAAATACAAACCATGATTCCTCTGTGTTACTTATCCTCACAATCCTCAGGTTCCTCCAACATCAGCAGGTCCTCCCAAGGTTTTTGTTAAAATACAGTGTTTGAAGACATGTTTGTGTACTGTTAAGTGGTACAATGGTAAAAAAGAACTGTGCTAAATGGTTGATTAATGTTGATTAAGCAAAGACCTCCATGTACCAGGTATTTAGGTTACAAGTTGAGGTTGGGTGAGACAACTTATTGTATCATTTTTTCTCTCTTTATGAATTTTGTGCTTCAACCATATTCTGGCTTTGATTTGTTAACCATGATTACTGTAAGTTTCTCCAAGAAACCCAATGAAAGACTTGTAGGCAAGAAATACTAAACACAAATATATAACAGGGTTTTAAGAATCAACAAGGCATCACAAGTGATACAAATCCCCTCGCATTCACACATTGTGACATATGTATTAGGAAATGAATAGAAAAATCAATGATGTAACAGTAACTGCTCTAGCGACTGCATCTGTTGACCTTCAACACAGTAGCCCAAAACCCGAACTCGTTCAAGGTATTGACATACTAAACACTTGTGTAAGTTTCATGAAATTATGTTGATAAATGAAGTCACTTAAACGATGACAAAGAGTGTAACATACATACAGGCAGAATCCTATATCCCCTCAAACTTTCATTGCGAGGGGATGATAAATAGATATCTGTCAACATCCCTGTGTCGTTGTTATACCGTTAATGAACTTCAAACTTTTAACTTAAAACACATACCATCACAGAACCTTAAAGCCTTCCAGAGTGTTACATTTCCCATGACATGAAGGGACTAACCTGTGACTGGCTTGGTGGTCCTATTAAATTTGGACTGAAGACATTTCTGTATGTGAACATTCAAATCTACTTGTGGAAAGTACAATCCACAGGCAAGACATCTACTTCTGTCTACTGTGTCATCCTCCTCTACTTCCTGCTTCATTTTGTTACCTGGATCAGTATTGTCGTGAACATTGCTATTCATACACCCCTCTTCTCTGACCTCAGACTTTTCCTCTGGAAGGACATTGTCTTCAGAATTAGACAAGTCTTTATTTGTCTTTATTCGTTTCTGTTGTCCATTACGATGTTCTGTGTGGTGCGACCTCTTTGTTTTACCAGAGCGGGGACAAGGACCCACTGAAGCAGCTTTTGGAGCCATTGGCTGCTGGAACTCACAGGTTTCATTCAGATCAAGGTCGACGGGTATTGTCACTGTCGTAACATTCTCAGAGTTCCCTCTTCCCATCTTTTTAAGAGAAAGCTTTGAACTTGTTTTTTTTCTTACGTCTTTGGACATAATGCTAGAGTATTTTATGTGTCAAGCTGAAATTCTTGATCAAAGTTTTATTAAACAAACACACACTTTTATTTCTGTCTGTCTGTCAAGACCATGGCCAAATAACAGTACAACATGTGCATTGCTTTCAGGAAGTAAACAACTTTTTTACTGGAAAGAAAGTATAAATGATTACAATGCAAACACACTCATTTTTCTTTTAGTACATTAGAAAATGTTTCAGCCGGTCACACCTTGTATCAGTTACCATAGTAACCAGTGTCACAGCAGATCAGTGTTCTGTGTGTATATTGTCACTTAGATCACAGTGTTCTGTGTGTATATTGTCACTTAGATCACAGTGCTCTGTGTGTATATTGTCACTTAGATCACAGTGCTCTGTGTGTATATTGTCACTTAGATCACAGTGTTCTGTGGGTATATTGTCACATAGATCAGTGTTCTGTGTGCATATTGTCACTTAGATAACAGTGTTCTGTGTGTATATTGTCACTTAGATCAGTGTTCTGTGTGGATATTGTCACTTAGATCACAGTGTTCTGTGTGTATATCGTCACTTAGATCCCAGTGTTCTGTGTGCATATTGTCACATAGATCAGTGTTCTGTGTGCATATGGTCACTGAAAACATTAGCCATAGTAACTGGTATCACAGTAGATCACAGTGTTCTGTGTGTATATTGTCACATAGATGAGTGTTCTGTGTGCATATTGTCACTTTGATCACAGTGTTCTGCGTGTATATTGTCACTTAGATCAGTGTTCTGTGTGCATATTGTCACTTAGATCACAGTGGGCTGGGTGTATATTGTCACTTAGATCAGTGTTCTGTGTGGATATTGTCACTTAGATCACAGTGTTCTGTGTGTATATTGTCACTTAGATCAGTGTTCTGTGTGCATATTGTCACTTAGATCACACAACATGTCGCTGTAATCAACATATCATACTGATCAGCCAATGAAATCTCAGTAGATAAGTCACCACCTTACGCACTACGGACACAGAGACGTTATTACTTGTCATCCTTCATACCATCAGCTGCATTTCTTATATATTCTAATCTTCCTAAATCTTGACTAGTGCTAAATGTTTCCACAGCTGCTTGTTCTCCCCTCCGTTTCTTCGTTTCTGTGATGTGACTGTCGAGGACACTGTAAGAGAGATCAAATGGTGCCAATGCATGTTTCCACAGAATTAATCATCAATGTTATATACATACATGTATGTCATTGGACACAAGCTGTGGCTGTGAGGTCCTATCAACTGAAGAGTAGCTTCCTGACAAAATTTTCAATCAACTTGTTTATCATACTTTCTAAGGAAGAGATGAACACCATCTATCTACTGTATATATGCAGGCATTGAGAAGTTATTTTCCTGTTAAATTTATGTTACTTCCGCTACATTCATAAATGGAAAGGATCATAGATCAAGATATTGTTTTTAATCTGATTGAAAAAAATGACTTATCTCCTTTCAAATTTTTTCATTGAGTTCATAGATAGTCAGAACATCCTCCAAATGTGACAAGGTTTGGTGCACACTTAAACTTTCCGTACATGGATGGAAATTTTACATACATCTGCTATACAATTTTTCAAAGAGACTCTATGGAAGACGTTCAAACAACCTCTGTTCCATAATAAACATATAAGGTGATAGTTATTTCAGACTAATTTCAAAGGACAGGTTTAAGCCTTGTGTCATTGGTCTGCAGCTTTTCATAAAGCCGTTTTTATATGTTAAACCAAAATAAACCTTACAGCGAGCTTTCGATTTTGCCATGATTATCCAGAGGTGCAGAAAAGAAACAAAATGTATATGTAAATCGAGAGCAGAACTCCTGGATTTTAAGGATGCCAAGTTCGATGAATTTAAAATTGATTTTTATTATTATATTCAGGGAGTGGATTGGAATTGTAATCAATACACTGATGACTCCTTTTGAGCCCCACTTCTCTCAACCCTCGGAGAGGGGGGGGGGGGGGGGATATTAAATCACTTCCTGAGTATAAACTGCGATCCCTACAGGGTAAGGATCATTGCTGATAAGTTTGTTCGAAATCCATTGCCCATTTCATAGAAGTTGAATATGTGAAAGTGTAACAGAGTGCATTATTGTTTCAATGTCTCTGCCAGGAGTCGAATCTGGGACCTCTGGCTTAGTCTTACACTCTACCTAATGAGCTTAAGAGAAATTCTCCCTCGCCGAGTCGGTAGGTGACAAAAGTTGCTGCATGCCAACGGATAAGGCAGTACTGAAATGCATGTATTCAGTATAATGCCCATACCACTAGATGGCCATGAAGTCAAATAACTGACCATGAAAGCAAATGGCTATAACCTGCCCCTGAGATCTCTTATTATAATGGTCTTAATGAATGGCTGGCATCCACAGCTGCAGCAACCTAGATAGCTGACTCTGAAGATCTACAGACAGCCTTCTTAGTGAAGAAATGTACCGAATACAGTGGCAAGCATGGGTGTCCTAAGATAGATTGTACAGTCTTATGTTAGATATCTCAACAGCTATATATATATATTCAATTCATTTGTAATATTATTCAGTGAATTTGTTAGCTATTGAAATGGCTATTAAAATTTCCTTAGATATATATATTTATATCATCCAATGTGTATTAGCTAACTCAACAGCTATACAATACATTTATAACAAGGCATCACAAGTGAAAAAAATCACACGTTGTTATATATGTAAGAGTATGAGGAAATGAAGTCGCAAGAGCGATGACAATTTTTTTCTAAGAATAGTAGCTTAGACCTTGACCTTCAACATAGAAACCTGAAACACGAACTTGTGGAAGGCATTGCCGTATGAAGTTCCATGAAATTACGTTGCGGAATGAAGTTGGTAGAGCGATGACAAAGTTTTTTACTAAAAATAGTTACATTGTCCTTGACCTTCAATGTAGAAAACCGAAATGCAAATTTGTTCAAGGTTTTGTCAAATGAAGTTTCATGAAATCCATTGAGGAATGAAGTCGCTAGAGAGATGACAAAGAGTTAACAAACATTTGTACGGGTGGAATCCTTTATCCCATATTGAACTTTCGTTGCGAGCACATGCAGATGCTCAGTAACTGGAATATATGTAATATATCATCGCACCCCCTTATACTATGATTTAAGAGGGTGCAATATCTAGTGGGGTGCGATAATATATTACATATGTTCCAGATCCTGAGCACCTGTGGTTGCGAGGGGATAATAACATGGAGGGCGACTGGTAGCAATGGCTTTAAAATTTTAAAAATATCATTGTGTAGAGTACGTATGGGAAAATTCTTATTCAATTGGCTACAAAAACAACAACATTTGTTGTGTTAATTTGTAGCCATTATAAGTTGCAATGAAATGTTGCTACTGTATAGTAAAAATATTATTATACAAGAGTGATAAATAACTACCCTATTCAAATAGACATAGGCCTACTGTGGCCCGAGTTTCCTCTGGCCCTGACACCAGACTTAAGACATTTTGACAGATAGATGTCTGGTACCGGTGTGGGTTACGTTAGACCAGACCTCTATCTGTCAAAATATCTAAGTCTGGTGTAAAGCGGCTAGAGGAAACTCGGGCTAGGCCTTCTGGAGCACCGGAAAATCTGCCTATATACACAGTAGGCAGATTTCGCTGTATAGTCAAATATGACTACCTATACAGCCAGATTTGCCGGTGCTCCAGTACACTGTACAGTAAAGCACAGGTGTTTGAAATTCTCACTGCAAAGAGATATACAGTTATATCATAAATGTTGGAAATAACTCAAAACTGATGCATCTGATAGGCTAGCTGCGATAACGTAGCTTTCTGACGACGAGAGATTTTTTATATATATTGCGGCCGGGGCAGATCAGAGGATGCCGGGTATTAATATATTGATAGGCCACAGGCAAATGCGTCAGGTCAGTAATCCGGCGATTCTCCCTTCCCTCTAGTTAAGACTTAACTAGAGGGAAGGGAGAATCGCCGGATTAGGTCCTACTGACCTGACGCATTTGCCTGTGGATAGGCCTACACAGTATTATAATATACCTGTAAAGTAAAGCTCCCGTTCCGACAAAAGCAATAAATGATATGGCAACAAATTTTCTCATGCTTTTTCCCAAAGGAGATTTCATAATCGTCCCCTTTTGCACTTGTTGGAGCTGCATCTTCTATTTTGATTTTGATCAACCTTGCTTATAACTCCGTTCGGAGTTCGACCGTTCGGAACACAGTACAACTTCAGTAAACGATTATTTGATTGGTTACACATTTACAAACTAATATTACAAGCTCGGTTGACAATATCCGGATGTAAAATATCAAAATCAGAAGATCTATGGGTTTTTTTATTCGGACCTTTTTTTATTTCAAATACTGAACAGAATACTTAACCTTTAATCATCATTGATGGAAATTGCAAAATAGATGAAGATGATTAAAAACACTATCATTTTTTATTCATTTCTATCGAAACACGAAGCACAGGGGTGCTATACTGATATGGGTCACAGCACACATAAACATACATTATGTATGTTTATGTGCGCTGTGACCCATATCAGTCAACAGCATATGTGTATTTCAGACATCTGTAACGAACCCCTGTGCACGAAGTGTGAATATGCATAATTTGTTAAATGTTCCGCAGTATAACGTCACAGTAACCAAATCGGGACACTTGAAGGAAAAAGTCACAAGAAATTTGCATGCTGTGCAAAAAAGTATTTTAAAATTGAGAATATTGATTTAAAGATGCTAATATAGAAATAAAACATTATATGAACTGCCTGTTATGGTTACAATCACAGTTTTAGTATGTAAATACTGACGAAAATGTATCCAGAGACGTATATATCTCTGTAATATATGCGTACGTCTCTGATGTAATTTAACGTTCTAAATTGATGCTCCTGCGCCATGCGACGTTATTGATTTTCAGTTTTTGTATGTGACTTTTCACAATCCTACTATTTCACAACTTATGGTAGTTTGGAAAAGAAATTCATTCAGAACGACCCTTTGACTCTTAAACATAAGCCAAAACTGGTAAGGGTATCCCGATTTGACACGTGTAAAAGATGTGGATAATTAGGTTGCCTTACAAGCGTCAGCTGTAGGGAATCAGCGGTAGAGCATGCGCATCGGGCTGGAGAGCCAAGGGTCGCGGGTTCGAGCCCCGGTGCCGGCACTATCTGTATCACTTTTCCTCGTCCTATTATAAACTGGTGCCGTTGACTCTCCCCGCTCAAGGTAGGAGACCCTTGGCAGGGAGTCAAAGAACCTGGGTTGATATTTGAAAAAAGGGGGGAATAGTGTAAAAGTCCTCGTCCTATTACACACGTATACCTGGTTCGCGATTACGTAACCATCAGGCGCGTAGCTGCCTATACGCGAGTACGCGGCTGAATCCACACGATTCTGACCAAAAAAACCAGCCAAAGTTGCAGTATGCGTACTTGGCTACAATTTGTACATGCTCATATCAAACGTTGCCGTTTCTATACTAACTAGCCCTTGAGGACCCCCCTCCGCATTAAAAATCCTCAGAAATCGAGCTGGGAATATTTCATTTACCAAATGTATACCGGTGGCACTAACACCCTACCATACTGTAGTTGTTGTAGTCCGTGACGTACCTGATACCAAGTCTTGTCCACAAATTGACACCTGCTCAAGAATATCCATATTTGCAGGGGTTTCAGTCAAAAAATATAGGAATATATAGGGGTTTTTCTTAAAAATAAAGGAAACTTTTATAAATATGCCCAATAATATAGGTAACTTATAGGATTTTCTTTCGACGTTTTGCGCTGATATTTGAGTTTTGAATGCTTCATATAATGTAATATCATCATAGAACACCATTCCAGCTTACATGTACTTGTATCACAAATAAAAAGGTATTGAATTAAATGATTCCACACTCTGTAATCAGAATCTGCATAAACACACATGACATTTTAATGGTTTCTTGACTTTGAATCAGCTTTTACAAAACAAGAGCTGTTGGAGAACTGCATAGCTCCCCGGTTTGTGATATAAGTACATGACTATATCTTAATGCTTTGTAGGGTGCCTAACTGGTCTTGTTATTTTGAGTTTTCGGTTTGTACAATGCAAATAAAAAACAAACAAAAATGGCTAGATGCCGTGAAGTTAGGGTTATCTATATGCTTTTGACGTCTAAAATATGAATAATGGTACAGCGTATTGTCTCCCTCCATATACTAATAAACAGTATCACGAGAAGGGTGGAAAACTACACGAGATCAGCTATGTCCACTGAACGTCTGCCTGGACTAGCAATGTTGCACAGTTACAGACATATGGACATTGCCATTAAAGATGTTATAATACAGTTCGATGGCAAAAAGGACAGAAAATTAGACTTCTGTTCTGTTAGACAATCTGAGTATTATTAACATAATCGGGGCTTGTATTTGTATGCTATTTTAGCTCTATTATTGAGGGAAAAATCTGCCGAGTAAAGGGTCTATTTGTTGATTTATGACACTAAAACTGTCCATTTTCCAGTACTTAATAAGGGGGGGGGGGCATGCCCCCTGAACCCCCTAGCACAATTATGAATCCACATGAATAGAGGACTAGCTACGCCCTGACCATCACTATATTTCCGGTTCTTTTTTGTAGAACCACTTCCAGAAATATCAACTTGTTATCAAAACTAAAAAGACAATGATATCTTTTTAGGTAAAGTGAACAAAAAATACTGGGATAGGTACTAGGGTATGAAATACATCATTATTTCACTAAAAATTGTGTCCCGATTTGGGTACTGCATGTGACGTTAAATTCGTTTTATTTATTCATATTAATATATCTTTTTAATATAAATATGATATATAAAATTAATATTTGAAACTTTATCTAATATAGAAAAAGTTTTTTTTTCCAGTATGGCTTGCCAGTATGACTTGCCAGTATGGCTTGCCAGTATGACTTACTAAAAATTACATAGACTACCTGTTATATAGTATTTAACGTAGGTCTCTGGTCGTTGTTTACGACAAGAACGTTTTTTAGGGGTATTTATTTTCTTACCTTAGGAAGTCGGATTTACATTATTATGACAGCTTAGTTGAATAATAATGAGGAGATATGTTACACGTCTCTCTTAAGTGTCATATATATATGTGAACACTTTCTTACAGATAATATTATCTGATGAGTATCACCTTAATGACTTTAGTTGATGGAAAATATTATGTTTACTAGAGACGTATATATATGGCTTTATATGTCTCTGGGTTTACAATTTTCAAATACTAACGGTAACGAGTGTTACGTATACGTCACCATCATTAATTATAGGAATAACATTTTTATTGAAAACTTGTCCCATGTGGGATTAATACAATCTATCCCCTCCTTGGGGGAAACGCAGAAAAACCTCAACCCAAGGGGTAAGATTCTTAAATGCCGAGACCGAGTCAGAGACGTGGCTTTATATGTCTCTGTTTTATATATATATATGTCTCCGATCGCGAGATGACAATTGATCCGGAAAACGCCACCGCCGTACTCGTTTCCGAAATTAGTAACTCATTAACATAGCAACGGAAAAGCATGATGGCGTCGTGTTGAACCTCGACATCTGTAAAATAATATATTTTATTCGGGAGAATAATGTAGAGAAATTAGTCGCCATCTGCAACTTTGGTTTACATTTCTATCAACACCCCTGGCGACTCGAACAACACATAATGGCAAACACGTCGGGATTAAGGTAACAAAGTTATAAATATAGTCTAATGGGTCAACATGCCAGTTGGGACATTCCCGCCCGATTTGTACTTGTTTTTGTGATCTGTTCATGTGAATTTTAATGACAACTTTTAAAATCAAAGCGTGATTAAAGTGACATTTAGGTGGTTATTAATGCAGTTATGTTGGACCCCTCACTCTAAATTAAAGACCCATTTTAACAAGTAAGATAACCTTAAAAAACAGAAATGTTTACCAACTTCTGCAGGTTGACCCAACGAGTCAGAAGTGAGGACAGCGTAAATGGTTGTGGGAGAAAATAAATAACATTTTCATCCGTGTATAGATTTTTGTATTTCATTTGTTTCGACCTTTTCCAGCAAATTTTACTTGAGGTAACTGTAAGGCTACTGAAACAGATAAAATGCTTGAATGAAAGACAATTTTCTACAGATTTTTACTCACAATACAATAATCAATATAGTTTATAATGTATAATATCAGTTCTTTCCATTGAGCAATTTTCCAGATGTGACAATTGAAATAATTCAAAGGAATTTATATTTTGTTATTTTCGTTTTACTTTATACACAAACAATATACGGTAAGTAGAAAATGTGTCCCAACGGTTTTTACTCCTACAGTACATGTAGGTATATCATTTAAGTAAAAGACCGCTGGTAGGTATTTTTTATAGGATATGATTATGCTGACTTTGCTTGTTAAAAGTATCTGGCCGTGTTAAACCTTTCTAACATTGTTGGAGTATAAGGTTCCAAGACCACTCATCCCTTTGTCAATCTACGAGTCATGTATACTGTGAAGAGTAATGATCATGGTATAGTCTGTTTTCATGTCTACATAATGATAAAACATCATAATCAATATGGTGTTGCTGCTTTGTAACATTTAAATTCATCTCTCAAGTTCCTAATGGACAATTGTATTGGTCGTCTCTGTTGTTAATCTGTACATAGATAAATCATAATCAGTCTGATTTTACTGTTGATATTGACTTGTTAAACACTGTATCTTGTTGTTTTTCAGTATTGTTCCATTCCAAGGTGCTGGCTCTATTAACAGAAGGAAGAACACCACCACGTCAGCCATAGACAATGTAAATGTGCTCTCGAAAAATATTGATTTCTCCTTCTGCAACTACACCAATACAGAAGGTTTGCATTTCAAATTATTTGTCCAGTAGAAATATTTCTAATGTAAAAACTTAGAGCAGGGAAAGCAAGAACTGATGGATAAAAATACTCAGCAAAAGAAGAATGTTAGCATGTTACCTTGCAGAAGTTCTGAACACCAGAATGACGTTGATTGTAAATGGCATTTTAGTGGCGAGTGAGTTTGGTGGGAGTATAATCAGTCATGTCTGAAATTTGCCAATCACCCTGTAGCTCCAAACAGGTTTGTTCACTTTGTTGTAAAGGGCCAAGTGAGGGCAGAGGGGCGGGGCCCCAATTCCGTCTTTGCGTATTGCAGAGTTATCTTCTCTTGGGAGCAGGTATTGATTGTTACGTCATTGGTTTGTGTGAGAAAATTACATCATTTTCTCAAAAATTGATTATTTTACTCTCACAAACAAGTGACGGAACAAACAATTCCTGCCCCCAAGAGAAGATAACTCTGCAATATGCAAAGGCGGAATAGGGGAAATAGAGGATTTTTTTTCTTCTTCTATACAAGTGAAGGGATTTAAACCAAATGCAGTCTGAAACATGCTTAGGGACAAAACAATCAATTTTGTATAAACTGAGGTGTGTAGGCCCCCTTCTTTGTGGCAGATGTGTGGGGCCCATTAGGGGAAATAGAAGAAACATTAAAGATTCTTCTCCGTCTGTAACGATGAAGGGATTTTAACAAAACTTGTTCTAGAGAATCTCCCCCCCCCCCCCCCCCCCCAGGGGGCAGAGGAGTGGGGCCCAATAGGGGAAATAGAAAAAAAAAATTCCCTTCTGTACAAATGAAGGGATTTAAATCAAATGAGGTCTGAAGCATGCTTAGGGGGAAAAAACTCAATTTGTTTAATTTGTATAAAAAGGTGCATATGAGGCCCAATAGGGGAAATAGAGGTAAATTGGGACATACTATGGAAACTCATTTTCTTTGTGTCTTTTCCACCAAAACAGATTTATATGTAGTTCTTCTTGCAACTTTATTGTACTCCTTTGATAAACCTGTATGGTACTCAGCAGGTATTAAGTTGAAAAATAAAATACCAGGTGAGGCCCCTAGACCTCTTGTTTTATCTACCAGGTAAGATTATATTAATTGATATTTTTTCTCTTTTTTCACAGACATTAAAAATGAGGTTCCAAGGGCGTCTCCAAGGAAGTCCAAACTTCCTGACATGGAAAACAAGAAAGCTTCCACTAAAAGTGTCCGCCTAAACAATAACAAACTGTGCGATGTTTCCTGTATCAAAGACACGCTGGAGGCTCATACTGTCAACCCCCTGGAGGTAGAGTGGATCGACCTCTCCTTCAACGAGCTCACCAATATTGATCCTGTAAGTACTGTCCAATGATCTCACCAATATTGATCCTGTAAGTACTGTCCAACGATCTCACCAATATTGATCCTGTAAGTACTGTCCAACGATCTCACCAATATTGATCCTGTAAGTACTGTCCAACGATCTCACCAATATTGATCCTGTAAGTACTGTCCAACGATCTCACCAATATTGATCCTGTAAGTACTGTCCAACGATCTCACCAATATTGATCCTGTAAGTACTGTCCAACGATCTCACCAATATTGATCCTGTAAGTACTGTCTAATGATCTCACCAATATTGATCCTGTAAGTACTGTCCAATGATCTCACCAATATTGATCCTGTAAGTACTGTCCGATGATCTCACCAATATTGATCCTGTAAGTACTGTCCAATGATCTCACCAATATTGATCCTGTAAGTACTGTCCAATGATCTCAGATCATCTCACCAATATTGATCCTGTAAGTACTGTCCAATGATCTCATCTATATTGATCCTGTAAGTTCTGTCCAACGATCTCACCAATATTGATCCTGTAAGTACTGTCCAATGATCTCAGATCATCTCACCAATATTGATCATGTAAGTACTGTCCAACGATCTCACCAATATTGATCCTGTAAGTACTGTCCAAGGATCTCACCTATATTGATCCTGTAAGTACTGTCCAACGATCTCACCAATATTGATCCTGTAAGTACTGTCCAACGATCTCACCAATATTGATCCTGTAAGTACTGTCCAATGATCTCACCAATATTGATCCTGTAAGTTCTGTCCAATGATCTCACCAATATTGATCCTGTAAGTTCTGTCCAACGATCTCACCAATATTGATCCTGTAAGTACTGTCCAATGATCTCACCAATATTGATTCTGTGAGTACTGTCCAATGATCTCACCAATATTGATCCTGTGAGTACTGTCCAACGATCTCACCAATATTGATCCTGTGAGTACTGTCCAACCGCAAAAGTTTTGCCTATTTTTTCAACGAGAACTTGCTTGGATTGAAGCAAGATTAAGATTAAGAGGAATGTATCATCTTTGGCAAAGAAAAGAAGATTAAGATGTGATTCCAATGGCATTTTTTTGACCTTTCAAACTGATTTTCTTCACTTTAAAGAGTAGCTATTTATGTTTTCAATAAGATTCATCAGTTTGGAAATATGTGATATCAAAGTTTTACTTTCTACACAAATAATGTCCTGATGTTTAATACGTACATTTTTTTATGTAGAAAGTAAATCTTTGATATCAGCTATTTAATAATATGTTGTTTACAACAGTGTTTGTACATATACTGATTTTTATCAACTCAGTTGAAAAAAATTCCAAAATGAAGTACAAATGATTCCTGCTTAAGTAATAATGTAAAGTTACAGGTATCGGTGACAAAGGAAGTACAAATGATTCCTGCTTAAGTAATAATGTAAAGTTACAGGTATCGGTGACAAAGGAAAGACAACTACATGTCAACATTGAACTTCATCTTTTATGTTCTAACAGCTTTGGCAAATCAAGACATCTTTTTTTTTTAAATATTCACCATCTTTTCCAAGTCTATATTCTCAAAACCTTCTGAACCTCTAAAATAATCCTGACATGGTTGTTGATGGATTTCTGCCTTGAGTCATTTATTTGCAGTACTAGCTGCAGTATCAATACATAAACCACATAAACTTGTATCATACTTGTATCAGGAATCACATACTTGTATCAGTAATCTCATACTTGGATCAGGAATCACATACTTGTATCAGGAATCTCATACTTGTATCAGGAATCTCATACTTGTATCAGGAATCTCATACTTGTATCAGGAATCTCATACTTGTATCAGGAATCTCATACTTGTAT